TCTAAATATGCTGCTTTTCGTGAACCAATAAATAGTAAATGCAGTAACGAAAAAGCGGAAGCAATCATCTCTAAATGATTCAATGTTGTAATGAAGCATGATAAATATAAATTACATACACAAAACAGGTTAAAACTAAGTTGCAAAACAAAGAACTGGTTGAGTAGCTGTACAACAGGTGACTCATCTTTGGTGCAATACAACTCTTCTCTTAATGGATGGAAAATTACGTGACCTTGAAGAGCAAATTCAACATTAAAAACAAAATAAGTGAACATTAGTAGATCGCAGCTCATAAATCGCACATAGATTCTAAACAGAAGAATTTTTGTTAGCAGGATCTCGCCCCCGAGATAGGTAACTTGCCCTTGGTTCATGGAATTCAAGCCTATAGTTGCGAGTCGACAACAGTCCCAGCATTAGGTGTCATAATTAAATGTGGTTATAGTTATTTACCACCCGGCTGTAACCATTTCGAAAAGTGTTTCGTTTACGAATAACAAGTCAGTTACACACTGAATGATCAAATACCCAAAAGCATCACTCGGCTTTGGCTCCTGCGCCGCCTCGCCTCGTGCATTTGCTCAAATCGCCATCGATTCTAGAACGCACGTAATCGACATGGGAGTAAGTTTCATTCATTAACAAGGAGTGAGGAGGGGGGGGTGTTGGTTGTGGAGTCAGAGGGTACGAATACGACCAATGTAAAAAAACCGCATCGTTCTAGCTCTCGTTTCCGAATACACGCCAAAATACGAAAAAAGTGTCATTTATTGGCAGCTGGGGAAGGAGCGGCGGAGTTGTCAGAAAACCCGAGTGTAGATTTCACCTAGTCTCACGCATGTATGGGACCGTTGGCACATTACTCGGCTTCGTCTCGCACATTAAAATATACAACTAAAACATCGCTTGGTTTCGTCCACTGCGCCGCCTCGCCTCGCGCATTTACCCAATTTGCCGTAGATTCAAGAATGCGTCCGGCCGATATGCAATTACCAACGAAGGGGGGGGGGGGGGTAACAGAAAGGTCGTGTAAATGCCAAATGCCACCTAGTTTCACGCTTGTATAGGACCGTTGACACATTGCTCAGCTTCGCCTCGCACATTAAAACACACAAGGACAAGGAAGACAGCGCTCGGCCTAAGCGGCTTTGCCGCCTCGCCTCGCGCATTTGGCCAATTTGCGATAGATGTGAGAACGCGGCCGGTCTGTTCTCTCGAGTACTCCTTACGCGTCTGTCTCTTTTTGTCTCCGATATCGCTGTGTTGCGAAACAGAACCATCGCAAAAGTCGCGACCAGCGTCCCTCCTTGTCAATTCACGAGCCTCGATTCTTATCTACTTTACGTTTCCGTCTTTGAAAAAGGGAACCAAAGAAGCTGGAAGGTTTGCTGCTATCTCTGCTTATCAACCCACGCTTTCCTTAAACGCGTCTGCCTAAAAGTACTCGCGCTCACTCTTCGTATAAAGCGGTACATATGCAACTTTACATTTATAAAATGAAAAAATTTTGACGGCATAGCGGGCTCCCGTTACACTCTATACTGATTTTTTAAATTGCTATATATCATTTGTTTTAATCTGATCATCAATTGTGCTTCTTTTTTGCTTTCTAGAAGTTAAAAGCGACCGTTTGTGGTTTGTGTTGTTGTGGGCTAGTGGTCAGTTATGCGTCGTTTTTTTCTAGTAGAATGTCGTTTTTCGTCGATATAGGTACGTTTTATGGGAAAAGGACTGAAACCAAAGCAACCAAGAGGAGAATCTTTACGGCCAAGGCAGACACCATAATTGTCTCAGCTGGGCCAGGCCCTTGGTGAGGCGATGAAACTGAAGCAAACGTCCTAGGACAAAGCATTTTACCTGTGAGCCAAAATCTGATACGAGATGGTGATGGCGTAATCGCCAATGCGTTCAGGCTTTTCTGGACGCGAAACGTGGTGAGACGGCGGGAAGCCACCGTTTGCGGGGGCACGAAAATACGCCAGCGGATTTTTTTGGTCAAACCGTCCATCTCAAACTGGTACTCCGTAGCGAATCAAAATCTTTTCTTAAAACAATGAACACATACAGGGCCGGATTTACATATTTTGCGCTTAGGGGCCCCTCAAAATCGCCCCCCCCCCCTAACCAATTAAAAGCACTTTATACCCTAACCAAAATTTGTGCAACATTTTTACTTCTTACAAAAAAGTTGAGAGATTCCTCCCCGTATATACAATTTAAGGCGATGCGCACATTTTTGAGAGTTGGCAAGGGGAAAGCTGTTTGCGCCACCTGGAGAGCACGAACGTTGGTTACGTTTGGCATCTTATCTTTAATGGCGGTCATTAATGCGGAATCACATATTTGATACCGTTATCCTTTTGTTTGTAATCGTTTACGTTTTTGGTGTAATGTTTGTTTAATTTATGTTCATGTTTTGATTACATGATCTGGACCAGAAGTAATATTCATCATACTCTTAAACAAAGTTTTTAAACAATTTTCGGCGTGAATGAAGCAGTCACGGGGGTGGAGAAAAACTGTAATCAAATGAGTTACGACACCTAATTCCGTAATTGTGCTCGACTTTCAACTGTAGGCTCGAAATCCCGAATGAGTGTTATCTATCTTGGGGGGAAGATTATGCTAATAAAAACTCTTCGGTTTAGCGATCCGCTAATTTCCACATATCTTGCCGTTAGTAGAATCTGCCTACAAGATCATGTCATTTTCCATCTTGCTCCTAACAAAATGATTTTATTGCACCAACGATGAGTGACATCATGTACCCTTCAACCTTTCTCAGAATTTAGGTTACATGACCCACTGTTCCCAAAATTTGTATTTCATCTTGGGTGTAACCCACTTGTTGGTGTGTATGCATTGACTATCTTTGTTAACCACTGCTTAATTTTACAAATTATTTTGTTAACTAACTTTTGCACTTTTGTTTAATATAATATAATTAATAATTAATCAACTGCAAGGTTTTTCTCCGTCGTACTCTTTTTACCCTTGGCAGTTATTTTTGCGAGAGTACGGCACCTTTTGGCTTTGCTTGCTTTGCTCAGATTAATGTACATCAACTCAATTTCCGGGCTTTCATACTCTCAATAATAACGATCATTATTAAACAAACTTTTCACAATTTCAGTCTTTTATTTTACGTTCTTCCCTTATTGTAAATGCGCGTGACGGATTTTTGTTTTTTTAGCGCATTTTTTAAGAATTAAAAACAAGTACAAATTGTGCACAACCCTTGTGCAGGTAAAGCGCATTTTTTTAAAACACCCCTACGAAATTTCTTCCATATAAAGAAGAAAGTTTGTACATTGCACTGCACATCCTACACAAAACCAAATTTGAAAAATGGCGCTACATTTGCTTTTATTCCAAGTGGCTATGTATCAAATTTCATTAAAATTTCTCCATAAATAAGAAAGTTGGCAGTGCGCATGCGCAAAACGAAATGTTGAAACTGGCGTTAAACTTGGTTTTATTCCAAGTGGCTATGTATCAAATTTTATTTAAATGCCCAATGGTTATATTTCTTCCAAACGTCCCAATCGCCCTTTGTAGGTACTTCCCTTTGACAATTCAGTCTTAAGATATAAGGAAATATAACAGATCACGACAAGGGATCGAGGAGGAAGACTATGGTTAGTAGCATTCCTTTCGTTGAGACCTTTCATTAGAGTACCATGAAGGATAAAACTAGTTCCACCCCCCTTCCCCCTCCACCCCGTACTTTGATAGGACAGAAAGAAGGGCAGTAGTTTGTAGAAAACTGTTCCTTTCGTTGAGACCTTTAATTAGAATACAATGAGAGATAAAATTAATTTTTAACCTCCCTCAGGCCCCGTCGCTCACTGATCTCGAAAAAGAGTCGCACGGGAAAGTTATAGGTTGTACAAACCAATTTATTTCGATGAGACCTTTCATTAGAATGCCATGAAGGGTAGAACATGTGTTTACCCCCCCCCCCTCTTCTAAGGTTTAACTTAGCACCACTAAAGGCATGCGTATGCCAAAATCTGAGACCAATTGGTTGTTCGTATGTAAAAGTTATGCACGTTTTACTTTCAAAAACAGCATTTCGGGAAATAATTCGTGGGGGGGGGGGGGCCTTTTAGACAGAGAAATTTCATGGCCGTCTAGCACACCTTCAAGGTATAGGCTATCTACTGCAATTCCAGGACTCTAGAACCATTCCCCCAGGTAGAATGAAAAGAACCGCTTTCTACCAACTACTGCCCTTCTTTCTGTCCTCTTATCAAAATACTGGGCGGAAGGGGGGGGGGGGGGGGGGAACGGGTTTTATCCTTTATGGTACTCTAATGAATGGTCTCAACGAAAGGNGGAGTTGTTCAATAATGGATACCACAACAGTTCTTCGTGGGATGAATTATCAACAGGGTATAACGCCGCAAAAATCAAAATGGCCGCTCAAGTACCTTTCGCTGTTTCTGAAGCGCCAAAAAAACAAACTTTCAAACTCCTGAAATGAAAAACCGGCGGCTGCTCGATCTTGCGGCTTCGTACAATTCAGTTTTGATGACCTGGAGATCTATTTTGGTGCTTTAGGAGGCGAAAATCGATCGTCTTAAATAAAAATTTAAGCGGAAATCGAGAATGAGTAATTCGCGCAATTTCCGAAACGATCGATTCGCCGCGTGTCAATCATTCAAAAACGTCCCCTCGTTACAATTTTCATTATTTTCGGATGGAAGCGGCTATACCTGGTATAACTTTAGACGGTGTGAATAATGGAATAAGAGCGGAATCGCCTCTTCGGGACTATCCTCTTTAAAAGCGTTTCGGCGTGTGTACTTATTACATTTTATAGAAATTTCGTAGTTTGAGGTGATTACAAGCGCTTTACTTGTGGGTCTTCAAGGCCGAGACGTGTTTGACCTTTTTTTAAAGCAATTTTGAACAATCGGTCACAGACAAAGATCCGCGCGCGGGTAGGGCGCTATAAATAGTAATTCAAGGTGCCACGAAATTAAAGCGAGGAAAACAAATTAGCTAATTTATTACAAAAAAGACCATTGTTTTGTAATAGTAATACAAAGTGTCATTGACTAGAATGCGTCCTTAATTTACATCGATTCTTGGAATAAATGGCAACGTTGCGCTTACTAAAATTGTTTACTGCGAGCGACATGCGTGTACGCGACCGGCTCGGTGGCGTTCGCCGACGGCCGACTGTAACCGAACGCGCCACTCGCGCCTTGGCCAAGTTTTAAAAATATCGATTCACCTTTGTGTTAAGGCAACGTTGCCACTTACTCTCCCATTCACCTCGTAGGTATACGCGTGCAAGGGGAACGGAATGCGAGAGAAGTATTTATAAAGTATCGATATTTTGAATATTAATATGTTTCAAACATTCTTCCTAGCCTCGACCATCTTCCTTTTAGCGACTTTGAACGCCGCCACAACTTGCTCGATACTTTTAATGAGGACGGACGTATTTAACTTATCCAGGAGAAATTTCCTTTGCCTATTTCCATTTTCACTTGCGAAATCCTCGGAGAACGCTTGCGACTGCTGAAGTACGCTGACGCGTACGCTTATCTCGCCGGTACCGACGCTGAGGACGCCGTATCTATTCATGCGACCCTGGAAAAACGTAATTACAGGACGAAAATAGGCAAATCTCACCTCGCGCGGCTCCCTTGGTAACGAGGCCCAGGTGATGTGATCGTAATTTGAAAAGTCTCCGATGAAGAACCTTCTTAAATTACACGCGATTCCTTCGGGGCAGATCCGTAAACAACGCAATTCGTAGCTGTAGACGCCGGCCTGCGTAACCGGCAGGATGGTGTAGGCGAGGCCCTCCGTGCGAAAGTGGTCCCAGGAATCTTTCGAGACCGCTTCGAAGTAGACGTAGGGCGATTTCAAAATTTCTGAAAAAATTCGCCTTTAAAAAGCGCTGAATCGATTTTGGGCGAGCAGGATGCGGCGGCGACACAAACATCCGACGACGACGCTGTGGGAATTCACCTTCAGAGGTTAATCATGTTTACGATTGCGTTTGCATCCATGTGTACGTCTACTTACGTTTACGGCTACGGTTACGTTTACGTTAATTTTTATCCAGTGTTCCATATCCCCTGATTTGGTGCTCTGCTCTCGCCCAAACTGATTACGGAAACGAGTATGCTTATGGTTTGTAAAGGCATGGCCGTAGCGAAAGTATCGGCAATGAGGGGGGGGGAGCAAGTGTCAAAATGGCTCTTTTTTTGGAAGATATTCCATACACGAGAGTTCTAAAGGAAACTTAGGAAAATAGACAGTGAATAAACAGTATAACGAAATCCGGCGTCGCATGTTTTAATTTGTGCGCAGTCAATTCATGTTCAATGCCATTCGTCTTCCGACGGATTGCGTAAATTGTGCAATCTTTTGAAAAATAGTCCAGCGGCCTTCCCTTAACAAGTACAGGAGTTTCGTTATTGGCTTCCGAATGCGTCATGAGCGGTTAGTTGCCTGGGACAAGTTATCGGCGCCTGTCTGACGAACGGCGATAAGACCTGACCAAAACAGCTAAAAGTTTAACCTATTAGCACCATTTTGTAGGCGTATTAAAAATTTAAAAGCATGGTAGGGACGAGTCCTGAAAAGATAGTGGCGTGGCATTCGGTTCTGGAGCACGAAAGCGTTAAGTTTGTGGCACTAAGCGCGAAGCCATCGGCGGGAAAATCACATTAGCGAGGAATCTTGTGGGAGAACCCATAACTAAAATTAGCGCCAAAGCCGCGCAAAGATTCAGTACGGAAGTGTTGTACATATCCAGAATACTGCAGTAGTCGTTCAGGAGATCTACACTGCCTAGATTTAAGGGGCCACCCCTTCGAGGAAAACCGTATCGATTCCGGAAAGGGCTAATTAAGGCAATGTAATTTTTTATTTGTATAAGCAATTAGGAGAGAAAGTGGAACTTGGATCAATTTAGGAACTTACAACAGCAGCCCTTACTGCAAGATCGAACGTACTTACCCTCCTCATCCATTCTTTGCACGTCATATTCCAAACAAATTTCGAAAGGTAACCCAAAGTGAGCCGCGCCGTCCTCGGAATTAGCCCTAATCGACGTCTGCGTGCATCCTTTTAGCGCGTCCGAATTTTTACAGCTCCAATGCGCCGGCAAATCGATAAAGTACTGCACGTAAACGTTGTCGTTTTCGAAATTGCGCGCCGCCAAAATTTCCAAATACAAACAGACGTCCAGCTTATTTTTACCCGGTAGCTCGAACCCGGCGTGCCCCTTGTCCAATTTCAATTTTTGCTGATGAAGATTTATCTTAAACGGGAGTTGGTTAGTGAAAGCGATAAGAGATGTCGCCCGAGCGCTTACCCTATCGAGTATTTCGTTCTCTTTGAGTTGCGCGTCGAATGGAATCTTTTCGGAGACGTCATCGATGCGGTACTGGAAGATCCTCTTGACGTCTCCCTCGATGTGGATTCGATACGGTTCGGATTGGGTGAAGTCGGGACGCATCGTGAGAACCTTTCGGGCGGGGTCGTACGTAACGGTGCACAAATTCGTCGCTTGGGAATCCCTAGAATCATTTGTTGCTAAAGACTAGAGAAGAAATGTGTTTGTTATGCTGTACTTATTTATGCCTTCATATGAAACTGTATTATCCGTGAGCTCCCGAATCTCGTACCCACCTGCGGACGGTGCGTAGGCAATACGAGAAGGGGGGCCCTCTAATTCACTTCCAATTTACCCATTTACGGGTTGTTTTGTTTAACACAAATTGAACCGTAGATGTGTTTGATGGGCTTTGTACTAATTTGACTGAAGTACAGGGTCACAAAGTCAAAATTGCGGTGCCTGCTCGGAGGATCTTTAAGATCACTACAAATTGGAAATTATTGAATTGCTTGATGTGAACCAAACTAGTTACGATATGTAAGGCTGCGATTGATCTTGAATCCCAACTGTAAGTTTGCCTTTACCGCACGAGGGGCAAGTTACAAGTCCCAGAGGGGTGGGGCCTTGCTAACAGAAACTCTTCGGATTTGAATCTATGTGCGGTATGACTATTAGTTGCGTTGAGATTCACTAATTTCCACCTTTTCCATAGTTTAAATATTGATGTGGTGCTCAAGGTCATGTAATTTCCCATGTAGGGTTTTATTGCACCAAAGATGCGATGCGTCACCTGTTGTATACAGCTAGCTTGTTTTGTTACCTGTCGGTAATTCAACCATTTCTTTGTTTTGCAACTTGCCTTTGCTATTTGCTATCATGTTTTCCTTATGCTTTATTATCAATAATTTGATGCAACAATTTATCTTGGATATTAACAACATTTTCACTATATTGCGCATTCGAGATTACTAAAATAACTGATCAAAATGCACTGATTCAAAATAGGTAGGCCATTATAGTGGCTTATTTTGCGTTCCTTTCCTACATAGCGTTGTTTACAACTAACGTAAGGGAGCCCTGTCTTTTCCCCCAAGGCAAAACCGTTCAATCAAGACCTTGAGGATTTCCTTTAAAACAGGGTGCGCCACACACGGACTGAGATTATACCTAGCTACGTCAGTTCGTGACTCCGTTCCTAAGAAGTTTTTACACTTACCGTTGGAATAGAAACTTGAAATTTAGTTCAAATAATTTCAAGATGGCGCCGCTTCTGTAAATACCGAAAGTTGGCGCCATCTTGTGTTTTATTTCTAAATGCGCCATTTTATTTTGAATTTGACGTATTTAAGATGTGCGTACCGCTCTGTAATGGTTTTTGATATATTATGTCAATTTTTCAAATGAAACAATTGTTTCCAAAGCCTACCATACCTAATGAAAAAATTTCAAAAATGCCAATAACTACTGCCTAATTATAGGCATCAGAAAGTTTGAACGCATGCCATCAGTGTACAATCTGAATTAGGTATGTTTATATAGTATCTGCAATCGGTAGAGCAGAATAAGTAGTATGTATTTATTTATTTGTTTATTGTCCCTCTCTTGTTTTGGGCCCTCAACAGGCTTGTACCGAATTATAGAGTGACCCGCATAATACCTACTTATCGTGGTCTATCGATTGATGATACTATGTAAACATACATCGATAACGTGCATCCAAACTAGAATCCTACTATAGTTGTGATTTGACATTTGTTGGTTGCTAATTTTAAACAATCGCAGCAGCCCTGGACACTTTTTCAAAGCAATTTAGCGGTCACTCAATGTAAACGAAGCGTGAAAATGGAGCAGACGGGAAGAAGGGCCGTTTTAAAAGTACCTACTTAAGTACTGCTTCACCATTATCATTTTTTGGGGTGCACCTAATCGAACTATTGGCAATTCCAAATAAGGATGCGACCTCTAGCGGCAATAACAAAGAACTTAAACGTCTGTGTAAATGCCTGAAACGTTTAGATAACTATTTATTCGAGATTCAGATTAACGGTAAGACATCTGGTGGCAGCACATTTAATTAATATTGGTGGGATAAGACCGCCCTTCTGGTTCGTTTGCAATCAATGTAACATTGTAACTACACCTTAAACAGCAAGGATAGTTCCAACGTCACGTACACGTTTTATCAATTATCACGTTACCTACATTCAAGAATTTTAAATGTGGCCAGTATAATATAAGAATAGTTTAAGAAATCTTCGCCCAACGCATAATATTTCCAAAGTCTTTAATTGTGAACAGCGCAGTTACATATGAGTATTTTAAAACATGAATCGCTGGAAAATATTTTCAAGTTCTAAAAGTGACCAACAGAGGGCGTAACTGCCATCTTAAATTTTAAAATTGCATTTTCTTTAAATTTCGCATAATAAACTCAAATTTTTTTTCATATTTTTAAAGAGAACCAGTTTATCTATCATTTTCGTAAAAACAAAAACTCAGTTATTTCAAAAACAAAGATGGCGTGAGGCGTTCAATTGTTTTTGCAATAACCTGCTTTAACTTCTTAACCGTTTGACCGATTTTAACAAATTTGGTATGGTTGAAAAGAGCATTCCTTGGGCAATGAGAATCAACCAAAATATAGTTAATTTAGTTGAATCCTTCTCCGCCATGGGGCTAGTTTTGACACTATGACCCAAAATCCTAAAAAAATCAAATGGAATGATATGACTTTTTCTTTATGAAAAAGTAGCCAAATAACATCCAAAGAGGACAGTGAAAACCGTTTTTCAAAATCTCGTTCCTAACCTCAAATATTGGGAAAATAAGATTAATTAAATAATTAATAAAAATGCTTAACTTGTGTCTTAAATTTACTTTTTACGTATTTCCGGTATTTGTCGATGGCGTGAAAGAAAAGCACCCTACACTTTTAGGTAGACCTTGGACTATTAAACAAATGAAACACGATGGCATTATAAAATAATAACAGCGGTATTTTGTAAATTATTCTGCTGTGTTTACATTCAGCAAGTGCAGTTTTTTGAATTTGTAATCTTGTCTAAAATTCCGATTTCTAACTAAGAAGCTTTTAATATGCTGGCGATATAAGTATTTTGAGTATTTTCAAAATGCGACCATCGCTGCCCGCATCTTCTATTTGCGTTATTCGAATCGACCACAAACCATCGCCGCCATGCTTCTTGGTTAGAAATCGGTATTTTAGAAAAGATCACAAATTCAAAAAACTGCATTTTCTGAATGTAAACACAGCAGAATAATTTACAAATTACGGCTGTTATTGTTTTATAATGCATCGTGTTTCATTTGTTTAATTTTCCAAGGCCTACCTAAAAGTGTAGGGTCCTTTTTCAAACAATCTTTCGCGCCATCGACAAATACCGGAAATACGTGAAATAAGATACAATTTAAGCATTTTTATTAATTAATTCCAATATTTGAGGTTTTGAGGTTAGGTTAGGAACGATATTTGGAAAAACGGTTTTCACTGGCCACTTTGGGTGTTCTTTGGCTACTTTTTCATAAAGAAAAAGTCATATCATTCCATTTGATTTTTTTGAGTTTTTTAGGATTTTGGATCAGTGTCAAATCTAGCCATGCTCTTTTCAACGATATCAAATTTGTTACAATTGGTCAAACGGTTAAGAAGTTAAAGCAGGTTATTGCAAAAACAATTGAACGCCCCTCGCCATCTTTGTTTTTGAAATATCTGAGTTTTTGTTTTTACGAAAATGATAGATACACTGGTTCTCTTTAAAAATGTGAAAAAAGAATGTTTAGTTTAGGTATTATGCGAAATTTAAAGAAAATGCAATTTTAAAATTTAAGATGGCAGTTACGCCCTCTGGTGGTGATTTTTTGAACTTGAAAATATTTTCCAGCGATTCTTCATAACCGATTTACCCAATAATTTGTTTACCCCTAAGTCATACGACGAACGGTTCCCGAGATATGGCCGAGGAACAGTCTTATTGGGACACCCGAACAGTGTAGCCTGGGCCCTAAAACCTAAACCTTGCAACTTACCGCCTAGGCGACTGTTAAAAACTCTAAATGACTGAACCTGGAGCCTAGGCAGGGAATTTTCTTTCCACAAATTTTGTACCCACCCTAAATCAGCCATCAGGTGCATTTTCCCGCAGTTATCGTCAACCCCCTCGTACCCATCGTCGTTAACGTAACTAAACACGACATTGCTCTTCTCCGACAGCTTGGCGACTTCAGCGTGATACTTCCTCTCCAGCTCGGTGGCGCAGTTCTTCCTATCCAGGTAGAAGCCTCTCTCGAACTGGCCGAAGATCTTCTGCTGCCATCGGAACGTTTGAATTTCCTCGAGCGGGTCGTCGCCACCGCCGCCGACTTCCCTGATCCTTATCCTGCCGAAGAAAAACCAACGTTAGCGCCATCTCGCGCTGGTCGCTCGCGTTTTTAAAAACATAAACAATTCTCACCTGATCTTGAGGTTAATTATTTCGTCCGGACTTCTGTAAATCGCCGTGGATTTGTGCATCGTTCGTGTGCGTGAGAGGTGAAAGTGGGCCCGACTGGCGTCAATCACAACAAATGACGTAGGTAAACAATGGGGAAATCCCTAAGACCCAATTTTCAAAAGAAAACCACGTGATTTGTTCCACCTTTAACGAGGCGGGAATTTGAAATTTTGATTACCTGTCGCGATAGGACCAGGTGACCAATCAGAGGTGAGCAGTTTTGGTTATTCATTCCAGATAAGTGATATGCAAGGTGCGGTGTCCGACATTACTCATCGAGATGCCTGCGAATCGCGTGGAGAACGGTACGGAGATCCCGCTTCGGTTTAACGACGATCACTGGAACCAGGTGTTCAAGCGGGTAAGTAAAGTGACGGTCGACAAGTAGAATTTTACCACTCGCTTGCAGTATGACACCGATCACGACGGCTACATCAGCATTAGGGAGCTAAACGACCTGGTCGAGAGTAGGGAGTACGAGCACGACATACCCTCGCATGTCGTTGCCGAAATTCACAGACGAGCAGATCGGAACGATGACGGAAAGTTGGATCTGCGAGAGTTCATCGAGATGATTCATCATCCGACATTACAGCCAATATTTGGACATCTGATCAGTAGGTGTGTGGCCACTTAGTCTTACAGTGGGGGTAGTAATAATCGGTTCGCCGACAATGCCTGTATAAATTACCGAGGGGGGATCCAATCTTTCACACCCTATAAATTTATTCAATTGGTGCCGATAAGCTAAGCTCCCCGTTTGTGTGGGGCTGAATTTCAATTGCGGCTGTACTACAAACGACCTGGGAAGTGGTCATTAGTGGCAATTTGTCGATAAAAATCAGCCATTGCCAATTGATGGTTATTTTTCAGCTAAAGTGACCCAAAATTGTGTGACCAAGAGTCAAAAATTGAGTCAAATTTCTTGTTTTTTTAAATTTTGTGTGCCGTTTTTGTTTGTTTTTTGATGCAGCTTTTGTGGCCTTAACTAAAAATAATTATTTGGTTTCTATTTTATGGTATGGTTTCCAGAATTTTTTTGGTTCTGGTTTTAAAATGGGATAGACATTTGAGGTTTTGTAATTTTTTGTTTTTGATTTTGGTGATGAGGAGTTTTTTGGATTTATAAAAATTTTTAAACTCCTGAACGTTTTGCTCCTTAAGGTTCCAGTCGTCTGGGTGTTGGTATGACCAGGTATCTCCCTTTTTTGTTTTTGTTGTTTTTATTTGTGTGACTGAAAAAGAAACTTCAAATGAAATACATTTTAGGTGTTTTGGTTTTTGCTTTTTTGAATGAGGTGGTTTTTTTGGGTTTACAAAAAATATTTGAATTCAAGAATACTTTATTTTTTATTATTATTATTTTTATGTGCGCCTTATCGTTCCAGTCGTATGGCCGGGTCCCAAAAAGGATACAATTTTTTGGGTTCTCACTTTTGTTTGTTTGTGAATTTTAATTTTGAACTATTAGAGGAAAACAAATGTGATATGTATTTGACATTTTTTGTTTCTGGCTTTAAAATGGGATAGACATTTGAGGTTTTGTGATTTTGGTGATGTGGAGTTTTTTGGATTTGTAAAAATTTTTTAATTCAAGAACGTTTTGCTCCTTCATGTTCCAATCATATGGGCGTTGATATGACCAGGCTCTGAAAAAGGATACCATTTTTTGGTATCTCTCTTTTTTGTTTTTATTTGTCACGGAAAAAGAAATTTCAAATGAAATACATTTGAGGTTTTTTGGTTATTGCTTTTTTGAATTTGATGAGGTGGTTTTTTTGGGTTTACAAAAAATATTTGAATTCAAGAATACTTTATTTTTTTAGTATTATTTTTATGTGCGCCTTATCGTTCCAGTCGTATGGCCGGGTTCCAAAAAGGATAAAAGTTTTTGGGTTCTCACTTTTTTTGTTTGTGAATTTTAATTTGGAACTATTCGAGGAAAACAAATGAGATATGTATTTGACATTTTTTTGTTTCTGGCTTTGAAATGGGATAGACATACATTTGAGGTTTTGTGATTTTTTGTTTTTGATTTTGGTGGGAGTTTTTTGGATTTATAAAAATTTTTTAATTCAAGAACGTTTTGCTCCTTAAAGTTCCAGACATATGGGCCTTGGTACGACCAGGCTCCAAAAAAAGGGTACAATTTTTTGGTATCTCTCTTTTTTGTTTCTATTGTTTTTATTTGTGTGACGTAAAAAGAAATTCCAAATGAAATACATTTGAGGTTTTTTGGTTTTTGCTTTTTTGAATTTGACGAGGTGGTTTTTTTTGGGTTTACAAAAAATATTTGAATTCAAGAATACTTTATTTTGTTATTATTTTATTATTATTATCGTATGGTCGGGTCCCAAAAAGTATACAATTTTTTTGTATCTCTCTTTTTTGTTATTGTTGTTTTTATTTGTGTGACGGAAAAAGAAATTTCAAATGAAATACATTTGAGGTTTTTTGGTTTTCGCTTTTTTGAATTTGATGAGGTTGTTTTTTTGGGTTTACAAAAAATATTTGAATTCAAGAATACTTTATTTTTTTATTATTTTATTATTATTATTTTTATGTGCGCCTTATCGTCCCAGTCGTATGGCCTGTTCCCAAAAAGGATAAAATTTTTCAGGTTCTCACTTTTTTTTGTTTGTGAATTTTAATTTTGAACTATTAGACGAAAACAAATGAGATATGTATTTGACATTGTTTTGTTTTTGACTTTAAAATGGGATAGATATTTGAGGTTTTGTGATTTTTTGATTTTGGTGATGTGGAGTTTTTTGGATTTATAAAAAACAAAAAAATATTTGAATTCAAGAATACTTTATTTTGTTATTATTTTTATGTGCGTCTTATCGTTCCAATCGTATGGCCGGGTCCCAACATGGATAAAATTTTTTGGGTTCTCACTTTTTTTTGTTTGTGAATTTTGATTTTAAACTATTAGATTAAAACAAATGAGATATGTACCTATTTGACATTTTTTTGTTTCTGCCTTTGAAATGGGATACACATTTGAGGTTTTTTGATTTTGGTGATGGGGAGTTTTTTGGATTAACAAAAATTTTTAAATTTAAGAACGTTTTGCTCCTTAACGTTCCAGTCATATGGGCGTTGGTATGACCAGGCTCCAAAAAAGTATACAATTTTTTGGTATCTCTCTTTTTTGTTTTTATTGTTTTTATTTGTGTGACGGAAAAAGAAATTTCAAATGAAATACATTTGAAGTTTTTTGGTTTTTGCTTTTTTGAATTTGATGAGGTGGTTTTTTTGGGTTTACAAAAAATACTTGAATTCAAGAATACTTAATTTTATTATTATTATTATTATTATTATTTTTATATGCGCTTTATCGTTCCAGTCGTATGGCCGGGTCCCAAAAAGGATAAAAATGTTTGGGTTCTCACTTTTTTTGTTTGTAAATTTTAATTTTGAACTATTCGAGGTAAACAAATGAGATATACGTCTTTCGCTATAAAAACCGTTGCACGTCATTGATTTGTGTATCAATTTCAGACATATGCTGCAACACTGCAGCATGTACAAAAAAAAACAAGTAGTGTGCGAAATCTATAGAAAACTTGTCTGAAATTGATTCATAAATCAATTACGTGCACCGCTTTTTATAGCGAAAGACGAATATGTATTTGACATTTTTTGTTTTTGACTTTAAAATGGGATAAACATTTGAGGTTTTTTGATTTTTTGTTTTTGATTTTGGTGATGTGGAGTTTTTTGAATTAACAAAAATTTTTAAATTCAAGAACGTTTTGCTCCTTAACGTTCCAGTCATGTGGGTGTTGGTATGACCAGGCTCCAAAAAAGTATACCATTTTTTGGGTTTACAAAAAATATTTGTATTTTTATGCATGGTTTTATCGTTCTAGTTGTACGCGTGTTTCTAATGATCAGGTCCCAAAAGTGGATCAAATTTTTTGGGCTTTTATTTTTTTGTTTACCAGTTGTAACAGTTAAATACTTGACCAAAAAAATATCTTAAACGAGATACGTATTTGAATTTTTTTGATTTTGGTGATGTGGAGTTTTTTTTGGAATTCCAAAAAATATATAAATTCAGGCACACTTCGCTTGAGGAAGTGCTTTAATGTACGCATTATCGTTCCAGTGCCAGAACCCAAGAAAGGATCAGTTTTTTTGACCAAACAAAATGAAGTTTTTTTAGATTTTGATTTTGCTGAAAAGGATCAACTTTTTTGGTTACTCTCTTTTTTGTTTACCAGTTTTTTGACGAAAAAAGAATTTCAAATGAGATGCGTATGGGTTTTTTCTTGTTTTTGATTTTGGTGATGTAGAGTTTTTTGGATTTACAAAAAAATATTTAAATGCAAGAAGATATCGCTCGCCTTAACGTTCCAGTCATACGTTTGTTCGTATGACCAGGTCCCAAAAAAGGGTCAACATTTTTTGGTCTCATTTTTTAAATTATTATTCGTTTGATAAAACAAATTTAAATGATATGAATTTGATACTGTTGTGCACGTGTTATCCTTCCAGTTCCAGAACCCGAGAAAGGTACATTTTTTGGGATCTCCTTATTTTATTTTAACAGTTTTAACAATTGACGTAGAAAATACTTCCAATGAGATATGCATTTACGGTTTTTTGATTTTTTCTTTTTTAATTCTGATGTAAAGTTTTTTCGATTTACAAAAAATGATCATTTTTTTTGTGCCTCTTAACCAGTTTTTCTGATAAAAAAATTTTAAATGAGTTATGCATTTGACGTTTTTCATTTTTTTGTTTTAGATTTTGATGATGTGGAGTTTTTTGAATTTTACATTTCGCTCTCCCTAACGTTCCAGGCGTATAGGTGTTAGTATGACAAGGTCCCAAAAAAGGATCAAATTATTTGGGATTTCTGTTTTGTTTTGTTTTTTTTTGACAAAAAATATTTCAAATGAGATATGCATTTCAGGTTTTTTAATTTTTTCATTTTTGATTTTGATGAGTTTTTTTTTAATTTACCGAAAATCTGATATTGCGGGAGCATATTTATGTACGGTTTATCGTTCGAGTTGTGTGGGAGTTTGTATGACCGGATTTAATACCACATTTAACAGAAAAAAATATTTCAAATATATTAGTTTGAGGCTTTTTGATTTTTGTTTTTGATTTTGGCGAGGTGGTTTTTTTTTGGATTTACAAAAAAAATATTTAAATTAGTTGGTAATACCACGTCCTAAAAATGGATCAAATTTGTTGGTATGTCATTTTTGTTTACCAGAAAAAATTTCAAATGATATGCATTTGAGGTTTTTTTGATTTTTTTATTTTTGATTTTAAGGATGTGGGTTTTTTTGGATTTACAAAAAATCTTAAATTAGAGAACATTTCGCTTGCGGAAATATTTTTATGTACGCGTTATGGAGAACATTTCAAATGAGGTTTTTTGATTTTTTTATTTCTGATGTGGGATTTTTGGATTCACAAAAAATATATGAATTCAAGAATACTTCGTTTACAGAAGTATTTTTATGTACGCCTCATCGTTCCAACCGTATGGGTGTTGGTATGACCAAAATGTTAAAAATTTCAAGAAATTAAAAAAAAATTTATTCCTTAAAATTTTATAAATCCCAATGTTCAAATATTTTTAAAGCCCAAAATTTCGAAAAACCTTAAAGGCTAAGGTACCCAAAATATCAAAAACCTCAAAACCTAAAAGTTCTCAGATTTTGAAATTCTCAAATGCCCGTAATTTCAAAAATTCCAGATTCCTAAAATTTCAGAATTGTACTGAACGTTTGAAATTCTCATCAGCAATATCGGAATTTCCAAAGCCTCCAATTCTCAAACTAAAAAACCCCAAAATCTTTTGTGAAAAATTTCCAAAATCCCGAATTTAGATACCAAAATCTCGAATTTCCAAAATCTTGAATTCGTAAAATTTCAAAAACCCCAGAATCTCAAATTTCTAAAACTTAAAATACCATAAAATCTAAAATTTAAGGAATGTTCTTCGTGTTAGCCCCACGTTAGGCGCCAAAATGCAACGGTAGTAGCTTTTCTAATGCTGGACATTGGACCCGTTTTTTTATTTGGTTGCCCCAGCTCACTTTTGTTGAAATCTTCGTTACAGGAATACACGAATTTAATTTATCATTTTTACGTCGATGTTAAGACTAAGACTAAACACAATTAACTGCGATACAATCGATTTTTCACTTTTGCATGTTTCAGGTACGTCCACTTTGTCGTACCTCAAGGTGGCCGAGATCGCAGTCAGCCCGACGGGCAGTATGAAGACGAGTACACCTGTTGCCCACCCCCCGTGGGCATGATATTAATCTCGCTCATCGAGCTAGTATTGTTCGTGGTCGATCTGGCGCAAGGTTCACAATATTCAGTGACAGGTCCGGTAGCACACGTATTAATTTACGACCCCTCTAGGCGGTACGAGGCCTGGAGGTACATAACGTACATGTTCGTGCACATCGGGTACTACTTTAACACTCGCTTGCTTCCTTTAATGATCGTGCTACTTGTAGGTACCTGCACTTAACCGTTAACTTGTGCGTACAAATACTACTGGGCACACCGCTGGAAATGGTGCACAGATGGTGGCGGGTCTTAATAATCTATTTCGCTGGTGTTGCCGCCGGTTCCCTAGGCACTTCCATTACTGATCCTACCGTGAAGTTGGCCGGGGCGAGCGGCGGGGTCTACGCCCTCATTACCGCTCACATTTCCACGATAATTATGGTAACAACCTCTTAACGCTTTCCTCACAAACTTCATTCCGCTTATTTAGAACTGGAGAGAGATGGAATACCCGATCCTGCAGCTCGCCATTTTCGTCATAATAACGGCGTGCGACGTCGGCACGGCGATTTACGATCGGTACGTTCGCGATATTAACGAGCACATCGGTTACGCCGCCCACTTGGCGGGCGCGATCGCCGGACTGCTAGTCGGAATAAATATCCTGAGAAACATCCGGGTCACTCGCAAGGAGCGAGTTATATGGTGGATTTCGATTGTCACCTATTGCACGTTGATGGCGGTTGCGATTATTTGGAACGCGGCGTTTCCCAGCTACTTCCCGCGGCAGAATTTTAATAGTTTATAATAAGGGAGTTTAATGGGTTGCTATTTTTATGTGCTGTAATTGTAAGACCAACTATGTGCCTGAAGGTAATGTGTCTTGTCTAATTTGCAGGTGTTGCTATTTATTTTTGACAATATATCTATGTTATGGATAATTTGTTTAATTTCTGAATTGTGGGCATTGCTCAATATTAACAGATAACAAAATCACCCCCAAGAGACCCTTGGTTTGGCGGCTGCCCAGAAAGGTTGAAGGAATTACCCTAGGACAAGGTCATCGCTTTTTGGTAATTGCAACTGCAGATGGGGCTGCGCCTCACGCACTACGTTGTTTGGCCCCATCTAAATATGCTGCTTTTCGTGAACCAATAAATAGTAAATGCAGTAACGAAAAAGCGGAAGCAATCATCTCTAAATGATTCAATGTTGTAATGAAGCATGATAAATATAAATTACATACACAAAACAGGTTAAAACTAAGTTGCAAAACAAAGAACTGGTTGAGTAGCTGTACAACAGGTGACTCATCTTTGGTGCAATACAACTCTTCTCTTAATGGATGGAAAATTACGTGACCTTGAAGAGCAAATTCAACATTAAAAACAAAATAAGTGAACATTAGTAGATCGCAGCTCATAAATCGCACATAGATTCTAAACAGAAGAATTTTTGTTAGCAGGATCTCGCCCCCGAGATAGGTAACTTGCCCTTGGTTCATGGAATTCAAGCCTATAGTTGCGAGTCGACAACAGTCCCAGCATTAGGTGTCATAATTAAATGTGGTTATAGTTATTTACCACCCGGCCGTGCTATATATACATAAAAAAGTGTGAAGTAAGCAGACGTAAAAAAACATGATCGAAACAGAGGTGGTGTGTCGAAAGACTCAAAAACGCACCCAAAAGAGAGCGTGAAGGAGGTTTGGGTTTTATTTAAAGAGACAGGGATGAGGAGGACGATAGGGGTGTCGTGAAAAACGAACCGGAGCGAAGGAAATCAAAAGAAAATGCAGGAAATCGAAGGATGCGTGAAATATGTGTGAAGGCGTTCTGAAGAAGGCCTAAAAGAAAATTGGAAAGGAAAATAGATGAAGAAAATTGATTTGAGAGGGGCATGAGGGGGTGTTGGCTGTGGTAAGGTACGAATACGACATCAATGTAAAAAAATCCACATCGTCTTAGCCCTCGGCGTTTCGGAATAAATACCAAAATATACAAAAAGAGTTATTTCTCAGCAATTTGGGGGGGGGGGGGAAGTAGCAGAAGACGCGAGTGTACATTCCACCTAGTCTCACGTTATTGTAGGACCCGTTGACACAATTGCTCGGCCTCGACTCGCATATTAAAACACACAACCCAAAGCATCACTCGGCTTTGGCCCCTGCGCCGCCTCGCCTCGTGCATTTGCTCAAATTGCCATCGATTCTAGAACGAACCTAATCGACATAGGAGTGTGTGTCATTTATTAACAGGGAGTGAGGATGGGGGGGGGGGAGGTTTGGTTGTGGATTCAGAGGGTACGAATACGACCAATGTCATTTATTGGCAGCTGGGGAAGGAGCGGCGGAGTTGTCAGAAAACCCGAGTGTAGATTTCACCTAGTCTCACGCATGTATGGGACCGTTGGCACATTACTCGGCTTCGTCTCGCACATTAAAATATACAACTAAAACATCGCTTGGTTTCGTCCACTGCGCCGCCTCGCCTCGCGCATTTGTCCAATTTGCTGTAGAACGCCGCCGGTTGATATGCGATACCAAAGTAAAGATCCTCAACGTTCTATAGCCCTCGTCGTTTCGGAATAAACGCCAAAATATAAAAAAAGTGACATTTATTGGCAGGTGGGGAAGGGGGGGGGTGTGTGTTCGTTGTGATGTTGTCTCTCGCATTAGCCGAATAAACGCAAAATATAAAAAAGGTACATTGCTGGGCGGGCGGAGAAGGGGGAAGGGGGTGTTGGTTGTTGCGTTGGAGGGTACTAATACAGACCAACGTAAAAAACCGCATCGTTCTGGTCCTCATCAGTGTTTCCGAATAAATGCCAAAATATGAAGAATGTGTCATTTATCAGAAAACCCGAGTGTAGTTGCCACCTATTTTGTGATACATTGCTCGGATGCACCTCGCACAATAAAACACACAACGAAGACATTGCTTAGCTTCGGCGACTGCGCCGCCTCGCCTCGCGTATTTACCCAATTTGCCGTAGATTCAAGAATGCGTCCGGACGATATGCAATACCAACGAAGGGGAGGGGGGGGGGGAACAGAAAGGTCGTGTAAATGCCAAATGCCACCTAGTTTCACGCTTGTATAGGACCGTTGACACATTGCTCAGCTTCGCCTCGCACATTAAAACACACAAGGACAAGGAAGACAGCGCTCGGCCTAAGCGGCTTTGCCGCCTCGCCTCGCGCATTTGGCCAATTTGCGATAGATGTGAGAACGCGGCCGGTCTGTTCTCTCGAGTACTCCTTACGCGTCTGTCTCTTTTTGTCTCCGATATCGCTGTGTTGCGAAACAGAACCATCGCAAAAGTCGCGACCAGCGTCCCTCCTTGTCAATTCACGAGCCTCGATTCTTATCTACTTTACGTTTCCGTCTTTGAAAAAGGGAACCAAAGAAGCTGGAAGGTTTGCTGCTATCTCTGCTTATCAACCCACGCTTTCCTTAAACGCGTCTGCCTAAAAGTACTCGCGCTCACTCTTCGTATAAAGCGGTACATATGCAACTTTACATTTATAAAATGAAAAAATTTTGACGGCATAGCGGGCTCCCGTTACACTCTATACTGATTTTTTAAATTGCTATATATCATTTGTTTTAATCTGATCATCAATTGTGCTTCTTTTTTGCTTTCTAGAAGTTAAAAGCGACCGTTTGTGGTTTGTGTTGTTGTGGGCTAGTGGTCAGTTATGCGTCGTTTTTTTCTAGTAGAATGTCGTTTTTCGTCGATATAGGTACGTTTTATGGGAAAAGGACTGAAACCAAAGCAACCAAGAGGAGAATCTTTACGGCCAAGGCAGACACCATAATTGTCTCAGCTGGGCCAGGCCCTTGGTGAGGCGATGAAACTGAAGCAAACGTCCTAGGACAAAGCATTTTACCTGTGAGCCAAAATCTGATACGAGATGGTGATGGCGTAATCGCCAATGCGTTCAGGCTTTTCTGGACGCGAAACGTGGTGAGACGGCGGGAAGCCACCGTTTGCGGGGGCACGAAAATACGCCAGCGGATTTTTTTGGTCAAACCGTCCATCTCAAACTGGTACTCCGTAGCGAATCAAAATCTTTTCTTAAAACAATGAACACATACAGGGCCGGATTTACATATTTTGCGCTTAGGGGCCCCTCAAAATCGCCCCCCCCCCCTAACCAATTAAAAGCACTTTATACCCTAACCAAAATTTGTGCAACATTTTTACTTCTTACAAAAAAGTTGAGAGATTCCTCCCCGTATATACAATTTAAGGCGATGCGCACATTTTTGAGAGTTGGCAAGGGGAAAGCTGTTTGCGCCACCTGGAGAGCACGAACGTTGGTTACGTTTGGCATCTTATCTTTAATGGCGGTCATTAATGCGGAATCACATATTTGATACCGTTATCCTTTTGTTTGTAATCGTTTACGTTTTTGGTGTAATGTTTGTTTAATTTATGTTCATGTTTTGATTACATGATCTGGACCAGAAGTAATATTCATCATACTCTTAAACAAAGTTTTTAAACAATTTTCGGCGTGAATGAAGCAGTCACGGGGGTGGAGAAAAACTGTAATCAAATGAGTTACGACACCTAATTCCGTAATTGTGCTCGACTTTCAACTGTAGGCTCGAAATCCCGAATGAGTGTTATCTATCTTGGGGGGAAGATTATGCTAATAAAAACTCTTCGGTTTAGCGATCCGCTAATTTCCACATATCTTGCCGTTAGTAGAATCTGCCTACAAGATCATGTCATTTTCCATCTTGCTCCTAACAAAATGATTTTATTGCACCAACGATGAGTGACATCATGTACCCTTCAACCTTTCTCAGAATTTAGGTTACATGACCCACTGTTCCCAAAATTTGTATTTCATCTTGGGTGTAACCCACTTGTTGGTGTGTATGCATTGACTATCTTTGTTAACCACTGCTTAATTTTACAAATTATTTTGTTAACTAACTTTTGCACTTTTGTTTAATATAATATAATTAATAATTAATCAACTGCAAGGTTTTTCTCCGTCGTACTCTTTTTACCCTTGGCAGTTATTTTTGCGAGAGTACGGCACCTTTTGGCTTTGCTTGCTTTGCTCAGATTAATGTACATCAACTCAATTTCCGGGCTTTCATACTCTCAATAATAACGATCATTATTAAACAAACTTTTCACAATTTCAGTCTTTTATTTTACGTTCTTCCCTTATTGTAAATGCGCGTGACGGATTTTTGTTTTTTTAGCGCATTTTTTAAGAATTAAAAACAAGTACAAATTGTGCACAACCCTTGTGCAGGTAAAGCGCATTTTTTTAAAACACCCCTACGAAATTTCTTCCATATAAAGAAGAAAGTTTGTACATTGCACTGCACATCCTACACAAAACCAAATTTGAAAAATGGCGCTACATTTGCTTTTATTCCAAGTGGCTATGTATCAAATTTCATTAAAATTTCTCCATAAATAAGAAAGTTGGCAGTGCGCATGCGCAAAACGAAATGTTGAAACTGGCGTTAAACTTGGTTTTATTCCAAGTGGCTATGTATCAAATTTTATTTAAATGCCCAATGGTTATATTTCTTCCAAACGTCCCAATCGCCCTTTGTAGGTACTTCCCTTTGACAATTCACTCTTAAGATATAAGGAATTATAACCGATCACGACAAGGGATCGAGGAGGAAGACTATGGTTAGTATAAATTAATTCCTTTCGTTGAGACCTTTCATTAGAGTACCATGAAGGATAAAACTAGTTCCACCCCCCTTCCCCCTCCACCCCGTACTTTGATAGGACAGAAAGAAGGGCAGTAGTTTGTAGAAAACTGTTCCTTTCGTTGAGACCTTTAATTAGAATACAATGAGAGATAAAATTAATTTTTAACCCCCTCCCTCCCTCCCTCACGCCCCGTCGCTCACTGATCTCGAAAAAGAGTCGCACGGGAAAGTTATAGTTGTACAAACCAATTTATTTCGATGAGACCTTTCATTAGAATACCATGAAGGGTAGAATGTAGAACATGTGTTTACCCCCCCCCCATTTTCTAAAGTTTAACTTAGCACCACTAAAGGCATGCGTATGCAAAATCTGAGACCAATTGGTTGTCGTATGTAAAAGTTATGCACGTTTTACTTTCAAAAACAGCATTTCGGGAAATAATTCGTGGGGGGGGGGGGGCCTTTTAGACAGAGAAATTTCATGGCCGTCTAGCACACCTTCAAGGTATAGGCTATCTACTGCAATTCCAGGACTCTAGAACCATTCCCCCAGGTAGAATGAAAAGAACCGCTTTCTACCAACTACTGCCCTTCTTTCTGTCCTCTTATCAAAATACTGGGCGGAAGGGGGGGGGGGGGAGTGGAACTAGTTTTATCCTTTATGGTACTCTAATGAAAGGTCTCAACGAAAGGAATTAATTTCTACCAACCATAGCCCTCCTCCTCGACCTCTTATATCGTGATCGAGTATATTCCCTTATACCTCAAGAACGGATTGTCAGAAGAGGGTACTCACAATGGGCGATTGAGACGTCTGCAAGAAATATATCCATTGGTGATGTCAAAACAAAAGCTATTTCGGTTTAAAAAATGCTCTTTATCTGCACAAGAGATGTGCACAATTTATACTTGTTTTTCGTGTGGGCGAAATTAGCAACGTTTTGCAAGGCCCGCGTCTTCTAGGGGTAGTAGACTTCGGGCGCCCAAAAAAGTTTCGTAAAGCTCGAATCGCGGTTTCTCTTTCTCGTGTCTCCGGTTATAAGACGTGTCCCAAAAATTGAGTACTACTTTACGGAGGGTTTTTAGCTAACACCACCATCATGCGGGTGAACGGGAAACTGGAAATTTCTTCTAGATAATAGTACCCTAGAATTATATTCCAAATTCAGTTTTTTTGTAGTCTCTAAAAATTTGCCGGTATGAGCCCGGTCCCACATGGCCCCATGCTAAATCCGGCCCTGAACACATAAAAACCAACTCAATTAAAGTCACCGATGGATTTCCCACCGTAGTCGCTGGTACTTCCCGCAGAAGTCCTCAGGCGGTGATCGCCACGCATTCTATGCTCTTTTTTCCGTTCATTAGTTGGTAACGTCACCTTTCGCCCACACCCCCCGACTTTAGTCAATCAACCAAAGCTAACGGTGACGCGACAGATTGAGATAAGCTCGCGTTTTTGTCTTTTATCTAGCGAGTCACCAGTCGGAATACTTTAGTCGGTGATTTATGCTGGTGCAATATTGACAAACGCGCGTTTCTGACTAATTGATCAGAAATGCTTTTGATATAGCGCGCGCGCTCCTATCTATAAAGTGTGTGATAAGATTCCAGAAACCGCCGCAAGAATGACAGCGGGACGAATTACAAAATTTCTACGCGAAAATTCCGTGGAGAATCCCTTCCGGAAGGCCAAGATGCAATGGAGGTGCATCTTCGATAAGGTGACCGCCGCCCACGAGCTAATCTCCGATTTTGAAAATTTCGGTTTTCAGTACGACGCAGACAGGGACGGCTACATCAGCGTGAAGGAGCTGGACCAGCTAATCGAAAGTCAGGATTACGAGCGGGACATCCCGTCGCACGTCGTTAGGAAAATACACGCTTTGGCCGATAAGAATCACGACGGAGTTTTGGACTTCAACGAGTTCGTCCAGATGATACAGTCGTCCACGCTGAGGCCGCTTTTCGGAAACTTGATGGACAGGTGCGGTGAGGGCTGCTGCGAGTAACTAATCGCCGGACTTCGGTTTCAGTTATGTGGCGATGATGGTGCCCCAAAAGTCCTTCCAGGAGCGCCAGGAGTTAACTGATAAGGCCAGATACTGTCCACCCCCACTGGGTATGGTCATAATCTCCATTCTCGAAATAGTCCTGTATTGTTGCGATAAAGGACTCAGTAGGCGACCGGGTGGGAATGGGCCGATTAGCGCGTCGTTACTTTACGACCCCACCAGACGCTACGAGGCTTGGAGGTTCGTAACGTACATGCTTGTGCATAATGGGTAAGAGTGAGTCATCCATGAATGCATGGATTAATAAAGTAGTACAGGGAGTTCCATTTGGTTGTCAATCTGGTCGTCCAACTGTTCTTGGGGATCACCCTGGAGGTGGTTCACAGATGGTGGAGAGTGCTGCTCATCTATTTTGCCGGAGTTTTGGCCGGCTCGCTTGTAGCTTCGATCTGCAATCCTGAGGTGACGCTAGTCGGTGCAAGTGGTGGGGTTTACGCCATTCTCACCGCACACATCGCTAGCATAATCATGGTAAGTACCTACCAAGCTACAGCCGCAATTGCTCCGTTTACACCAACTATTATACTTTCGACAATGTACAGGGTGCCCCACACATGTAATTGTAGTGCTATCAAAACAGTAATGTGTGCCCCATGTGTTCTTTTTGGGTCAATAAGTTATAGGCGAAAGGATTTACTTATTATCTCTTTAGACGAAGGCGCAATAAACAAACAAAGGCGATAAAAGATGGCGACGGGAAAGGGTTGGTTCCACCTTTAAATTTAGAAATGTAATTATTTTCCTTGTAGACGTCCGGCTCCCGTCACAATGAAAAATCTCAATGTTGACTTTAAATTAATAATTTGGAAGATTCGGTGGCCTAGATCTATCAACTTCCGAAAATTTCAAAGAATTTATTACACAACACAATACACGCCTGAAGTAAATCTTGGGCACCAATAGAAAAATCTGGCATGAAACACTTTATCCGGGTCGTACAATGGATTCGACTAAATACACAATTAATTGCCTGACAAGGACAAAATTTATTCCGAAACACACGAAAGAAAAGCTTGTTTGGACATGTTACCCCGCACACAGGCGGTCGACAAATAAAATAATAAATTTTAAAATCAAATTAAAGTACCATTCCAATCTTGGCAGCCGCGACCCATTTTGCCTGTTCTGTTGCGTCACGGTCGCGAGTTGGCTGTGCTTCCCGGCGGCGCGACGCAGTCTCTTCGATCGGACAGTGCCACATACAAATTCCGAATTGCCGGCCCGTGTAGCACAGTTTAGTGGAAGCTCGACTGCGGTACAGGGTCCCTGGTTCGAAACCGGTTTCGGGCATGGATATTTGTAAATGTATAGTGGGTTGGGTTGGTAGAGCAGCCTAGGCTGAAACCCCGCCCACTTAAAAATAAAGGCAAAAAAAAGAGCAGTGCCCCGCGACCACGGTGGAGCTGCCGGGTCGCGACTGCCAAGATCGGAATTGAACCTTTTACAGTTTTTTAAAAAATCATCCAAATAATCTGATCGTACAAGATTTGCACTAAACTTACAGAATGCTGTCATCTTCTGAACTTCAGTTTGCTTTATAACACAAAATTAGATAAACGAAACTGGCTTGATGAATAAGATGAAAACATTTTCGGTGGCTGTTCGGACGGTTGAAACTTTTGAGTTTTAATAAAAAGCCTTGCTGTACTACACTGCTTTCTCTTTCAACTCGACAAAACATTATCCGTTTAACATACAACACGCGTTAAACTTCTCACACAACTTTGGTTAACTTATGCTTCTGCAGAGATTTATTATTAAATAATGACCAACTGCGGTTTTAACAAAACAAATGGGGCTGAACACCCGAGAATTTAGCGTAAACAAATGTAGACGTTCTTAACCGTCGCGAAAGCAGCACCAGCCCCGTTTTTAACCTTGCCTCCGGTATTTAACGGAACACCCCTTCCACTCCTTAAAAAATTTTTCAAATAACTCGCCAATCGGCGATAAGCACCAAAACACGTGCGTTGATTAAATTTCGCCTGATAATAAAAGTCCTTATCGCAAACGACCAGATGTGTAAACTTACTTAACACCTTATCTAAATTCGATTAATTTACAAGAAGAATGAAAAATCATAAAAATAATCGATCACCGAAATATAAATTCAAATAAAACAACCCAACTCTGTGCTTATTCGTAAACAACGCACGAATTTTCACTTAAAAATTGAAATATTTCGCATGTACAGGATGTCCCGTCGTTATTTTCGGTGTTTCGGACATCTTTGATGCTACTTTTACACCTTCTTGATACTTTCACTTGCCCACGTTAATTTCTTCTTTACGTATTTTTCATGCTCCCTCGCTTCACACCTTCCACTCGTACATCTATTCCCTTTATGTCTACTTCAGACCTTTTTTTGACACTTTTCTTTGTTCTCGCCTGCTTGATGCCTTCTACCCTTTGGATTTCTTATCGCATATTTTTTTACGCCTTCTCTCTTTCCTTCAGATCCCATTCTAGTGGCCGCCTCCTTGACATTCTTTCCTCAACATCTGCGCATGTTTAAATTTATCTGCTTTTACGTCTACCCACATCTCCTCCAATATCCTGACTACTTTTAATTAAAAAATTTATGCAAGTTCTTAAAAAGGACCGATGGTATTTTTTTATGCAAATCAAAAAAAGTACGTTACCTTAATTAGAGTGTTCTTTAGAATCATTGGTTTTCCTAGGGTTGAAAAGATGCCGCCTTACAGTTGGCCAATATAAAATGAAAAATTTTTGTATATAGAATTTATCGGGGAATGAACTTCTTTATTTATATCGACTGCATTCAAACTAGTTTGATATCTCAGCAATATGCGTTATTAATCAAGGCCCGAAACCGCGAGTTCAGTGCTATCTCTGTTCAAAACCCACGCTTTTCCTAAATGGGATTCCTTATCGCTGTTAAACCTACTCGCGCTCACTTGTTCACACATATATAATTTCAACCCAAATAAAAACGAAAAATTGCAAAGCGGATTCCCGTTACAACTGTTTTATGCCTTATTCCTGAACGTTTGTCTTTCTATTTAAGGTTCAAACAAATACACAAATTCTGTTTACCTTACTTATATGGCGTCTAAATCTGCCCTTGGAGCAGTTAAACTTTGGGCAACTTGAACACCTTCGTATTTTAGGGTTTGTGGAATGGAACTAAAACTGATGTCGCTCAAACTTGACTTTTGCACCGGAAGGTCTACTTCTCGGGTTGTAATCTTCTACGGAAAACTCACCGTGCATTGTTTTCAATAACCGAGTCGCAGAGTAATAATTTGCAAGGGTGCTTAACACTACCTTTGCTTACTTGCAGCAGCCCTTTTACTCTGTAGCACACTAGTACTATTCATAAACGCGCTTAATACCACCGAGAACAGGCCGGTCAATTTATGCACGAATTACTTTAAACGCGTTTTCATTTTCTATTTCTTTGCTAATTTCCTGTATCTGGAATCTTTTTAAAATTCAGTGCTCTTACTAACCAAATGAGCTCTACGACGGGTCAACACGTAGGTAATCCCGATCACAGTTCTTCTCAATTAGTCCCACCACTCAACTAATTCCCAAACCTCTCTTGCTTAACATTAATGATCCAATGAAACCACGTCTCCTTCGTTAACTGTTCGGCCACATTTTATACTCCTCGTTCCCGATTCGAGCACGTTTTTTTTAAAAAATTAAGTTGGTACTCCTTCTTTCTTCCCTCTCTTTCACGCTTTCCTATGCCCCCTTTGAAACTATCGGCGTCCTTCTCTAAAACGCGTCCCTTGAGCACAATTTAGAAAAAAACGCAAATTAGTAACGAAATCCCTACGCTCCTCCTCCATAGCTATACAATGTCCTTCAGAACAATACCCAACCTTTTATATGCCTGCTTCTTCGCTCGCCCCGCCGTCGTCATTCTCACGTCTCTCATTCTTTCCTTATCACCTTCTCCCTTATTATGTCGCCACGCCATGTCTTTCCTAATTCTTGTAACGGAAGGTTACAGGGGTGGTTTGATGCATAAATTCTTACCAAAACGTAATTTGGGTAAATTTAGAGCAAGAAAAATTGGGCTCAGATAAAGCGCCAAATTTAAATATGCCATCAAAATCGATACGTTACCTAAATCATATCTTCAAATCAATAAAAAATGTCAAATGCAGGTCTGCTTTATTTATCTCCTCCAATCTTACATATAAACTTATTTTCAAAGAAATTTTCGAAAGGCCCAAGCGGAAGGCAACAAATCGCGGCTAATATAAACAAACGTGCAAATTATTCCAAGGTTTTATATATATATATATATATACCTATATAAAGTTCAAAGGGCTGTAACTTTTGATCTAGTAGTCCAATCTTGGAACTGTTTGAAATTATGGATTCTACAGGCCACATTCTATAAGAAAATTTTTTTCCGGGTCGATGTGAGACAATTTTTTTTCGGGGCTCAAAAAAAGGCAGTGTATAACCTTCCTTTTTTACCAAAAATCGACTACACCAAAATTTCTCGGGAAAACACTTTTTCTTATTAATTTGGGTGCGTAGAATCCAAATCAATTCGTACTTTTTCGATCAGACTTCTCAATCAAAAGTTATAGACTAGAAACCAATTTCGAAAAAAAATTCAAAGGGCTGTAACTTTTGAACTAGTAGCCCAATCTTGGAACTGTTTGAAATTATGGATTCTACAGGCCACATTCCATAAGAAAATTTTTTTCCGGGTCGATCTGAGACAATTTTTTTTTCGGGGCTCAAAAAAAGGCAGTGTATAACCTTCCTTTTTTACCAAAAATCGACTACACCAAAATTTCTCGGGAAAACACTTTTTCTTATTAATTTGGGTGCGTAGAATCCAAAACAATTCGTACTTTTTCGATCAGACTTCTCAATCAAAAGTTATAGACTAGAAACCAATTTCGAAAAAAAATTCAAAGGGCTGTAACTTTTGAACTAGTAGCCCAATCTTGGAACTGTTTGAAATTATGGATTCTACAGGCCACATTCTATAAGAAAATTTTTTTTCCGGGTCGATCTGAGACAATTTTTTTTTCGGGGCTCAAAAAAAGGCAGTGTATAACCTTCCTTTTTTACCAAAAATCGACTACACCAAAATTTCTCGGGAAAACACTTTTTCTTATTAATTTGGGTGCGTAGAATCCAAATCAATTCGTACTTTTTCGATCAGACTTCTCAATCAAAAGTTATAGACTAGAAACCAATTTCGAAAAAAAATTCAAAGGGCTGTAACTTTTGAACTAGTAGCCCAATCTTGGAACTGTTTGAAATTATGGATTCTACAGGCCACATTCTATAAGAAAATTTTTTTCCGGGTCGATCTGAGACAATTTTTTTTTCGGGGCTCAAAAAAAGGCAGTGTATAACCTTCCTTTTTTACCAAAAATCGACTACACCAAAATTTCTCGGGAAAACACTTTTTCTTATTAATTTTGGTGCGTAGAATCCAAAACAATTCGTACTTTTTCGATCAGACTTCTCAATCAAAAGTTATAGACTAGAAACCAATTTCGAAAAAAAATTCAAAGGGCTGTAACTTTTGAACTAGTAGCCCAATCTTGGAACTGTTTGAAATTATGGATTCTACAGGCCACATTCTATAAGAAAATTTTTTTTCCGGGTCGATCTGTGACAATTTTTTTTGGGGGCTCAAAAAAAGGCAGTGTATAACCTTCCTTTTTTACCAAAAATCGACTACACCAAAATTTCTCGGGAAAACACTTTTTCTTATTAATTTGGGTGCGTAGAATCCAAATCAATTTGTACTTTTTCGATCAGACTTCTCAATCAAAAGTTATAGACTAAATAAAAATTTCGACAATATATATAATATATCACTAGCGGCCCAAATTAAATCAAACTTCTCTTTTGCAGAATTGGAAGGAAATGGAGTACCCGTTCGTGCAACTACTCATCTTCGTCATAATAACGGTCTGTGATATCGGTAGCGCGATTTATGAACGTCACATTTCGCCGCCGAGCAGCAGCGTCAGCTACACCGCCCACATTGCCGGAGCGGTAGCCGGCTTACTCATGGGCATCAACATCGTTCGTAACGTTAAGATCACCCATAGCGAGAATGTGATATGGTGGGTATCGGTTATCCTCTACGTTCTCCTCATGGGCACCACGATTGTATGGCATATCGCTGGTGGGAGCTACTTTCCCGTGCAAAAAGACTGAATTTATTGTTTAAGTTCGAACTACCTTTAGTCGTATTATTTATTGCATACCATAACAGTATTCCTTCGATTATAATTAATTAATTATAGCAGCCACTTACACTGCCACAATCCGTGTACATATGTTGTAGGAATAAATGCGTAAAAAAAAACAATTGGCAATGCAACTTGCAACATCGATCCCACGGTTATCCCTCACAATTACGACAAAGACAGGACGGCGGCACTGAAATCTTTACAAACATTTATTTAAAACTGCGTATAAATAAAGGCGTATAAAACACAATTAATTAAATTACCAACTTAATTTACAAATTAACAATAAAAAATTAGTGCTCGTTTAAAATTGAGGTTCTATTTAGAGACGAAACAAGGCGGAGAAACAAAAGAAAATTTGGTCCAACCCGTTCACTTATATCACATTGGCCTTAAGGAGTGAGATTTTCACTGATTCGCTATAAAAAGTGTGTAAAATCTAAAAATTAGTCATAGCACCGTGTTCACCGGAAAACAACTTTTGGCAGGTCTCCCCTTTAAATTAACGATGGTCGTGTATGGGAACTTTCTCGTATTGTGGTGAAGTCAGCAGAACGGTCTCGTCCTCCGACGAGCTGTCGGAGTAAATCTCTTCATCTTCATTGTCAAAGTAGGGTCGCGTCAGTAACTTCGATCCTAAACAGAGTACGGTACGGCGAATTAAATCGAGCTTTTCAAAACGTGACAGTACCTTGTAAGGGTGACCGGAAGATTTCCGTCTCCTTGGATTCATCGTCATCAAAGTACGTCTGCGACAGTAAACCGTAGTCCTTCTTCCGCTTGCACGCGTTGTAGCAGAAGACCAAGAGAAGCACGACCGCCAAACTGATACAGCCGGCCAGAAGAATGAAGACCAGACGCGGCAACCCCATCACGTTAACGTCCTTGGTCAAAGTGAACATGACGAACTTGGGTTGCTTGCTGACGCTGGTCACTTCGACGTACTTCACGTTCTCGGCGTAACCGTCGGCGGTTACTTCGACGGTGTACTTACCCGGCTCCAGGTCGATTAAGTATCGCCCGTCGCTATTGGAAAAGATGCTTAAATTCTTTTCGATCACCCTCAGCTGGGCCTTAACTACCGGATGGTTCAAGTTATCGCGAACGTAGCCCTTGATGCCGCTCTCCAATTCGTCCTGATTGTAGGCGGAAGCGTCCGATTGCGTTAATTCGACGTCGTGATTCGCTAGCTCGCTCTGTCGCACGACGACGTCGGCCGATTTCGTTTCGTAATTGTGACAGTTGAAGTGTAGGGTGTACGTGCCCGGAGGCAGGAGGATTTTGTAGTGCGCCCCCACCTTCGTCACCTCGTACAGTTTACTGAGGCCCTCCACTTTTATGGTTGCGTTCTTCATGGCAATGCCTTTGGAGTTTTTAACGAAACCTTCAACACCTAGAAGTTAAAAAATCCAAATTGTAAGGTATGTACGGCAAAGGGTACGCGTCTTTAATCAAGACGTCTAATTAACTTTAGAAATCGCTTTCTTTTATTAGGAACTCATCTTGCATTGAAATTTGTATTGGATTGAGGAATACGTCTCCTCTAATAATTCAAAATGTAATGTGTGTAAGGCAAAGGGTACGCGTCTTACTAAGACCTAATTACACATCACTGCCACTAAAATCCAAATGGTAAGGTATGTACGGCACAGGATAAGCGTCTTTAATTCAGACGTCTAATTATCTTTAGAAATCGCTTTCTTTTATTAGGAACTCATCTTGCATTGAAATTTGTATTGGATTGAGGAATACGTCTCCTCTAATAATTCAAAATGTAATGTGTGTAAGGCAAAGGGTACGCGTCTTACTAAGACCTAATTACACATCACTGCCACTAAAATCCAAATGGTAAGGTCTGTACGGCAAAGGATAAGCGTCTTTAATCGAGACGTCTAAATAACTCTCCAAATCCAGTAAATATACACAAAAGTTTATATTAAACAAATTCAGTTCACACTAACTCTGCCCCCTCTCTTTTCTACGTATCTCAACCTCCTATCCCTCTAACCCCCCTTCCACCCCCACTAACGTTCCTGAACCTCGCTCCATACCGTTTACTTGTCTCTTGTTCCCTTACATGTTATGATGGAATGGCTTTTCCTTCTTCCCCTTTAGGCCTATCGCTAAACAGTCAACAAAATGAAGTGTAAGCAACAGATTCCTTCATCTCGGTTTCTGTTTTGGCTCTCTCCCCCTCCAGCTCCCATCCTTCTCTCCCGTTCCATTCCATCAGTGAATAAACGAAAATAGAGGAACACAGATTGGAAGCCTCCATTACGGAAATATTAAAAGTGAAATAAATGGGTGATCGAGAACTTCCCGCCACACCTTTTGTCCTTCACTCTGATTCTGGATCTTATCCCGTAAGACGCGTACCCTTTCCCTTACACACATTACATTTTGAATTAATAGAGGTGGCTGGATTAAACAAAAGAGACCTTCAAAAGTAGATCGAACATAGGGAACCACTACCAATTGATAGAGCGCCAAAACTAAGGATAATAACCTGTCCTCGTGATGCTAAGCAGGGCCATGATTGGTTCGAGCACTTCTCGCCAGATGTACGGTAGATTTCCGACGGCCGGATACTCGCAGCAGCTCACCTTCGGCGTGATCATCGCGGTGTTGTACTCGTGGTAAACGAAGTCCGTCAGAATGTCATCGGTTCCCAAAGTGTTCCCGGCGCAGCTGTGCTTCACCCTCAGGTTTTTGTGATAGGCGTCGACGAACGTCTTGTAAATCTGCAGCTCGCCCTGCGGCGTCGGGTACCTGCAAGACCGTACAGATCTGATCGAACGGTTGCCAATACGACTTACACGACACCGCTGCGTCCTCCCTCAAAGTTGAGTATAAAATCGAACTTCTCCTCCAAGAGCATGTGCTTGAACGCGTTCGTGACCCGCTGCTGGTTACCGTTACCGCGACCGCTCGGGTTCAGGATTTGATCGCCGACCTGCCTGAAGTCGGCGGTGATATTGTTGCACTTATACATGCTGGCCTCCGAGTGTCCGCTGACCGCGTGCAGGTAGTCGCCCCAAATGTCCTCGAAGGCCGGATCGACGAACGGCATGAGGTGAACGACTGTATTTTTTAAAATGGAGACGATCGTCGGATCCTGAAACTTGTGCCCCTCCAGCAGATGGCGCGCCAAGTAGACGGTGAGCTCGCGACCGATCGGCTGCGTCGCGTACAGACTTCCCATGATCGCTACGTGAAATTTGCGCTCTTCGGATTCGTCCACCTGAAATAAGCCGGTGGGTGGGAGCGAGTAGAAATGGGAGCGCTTACGTCGTGCGATATTTTCAGCGAGTGTATTGCCATGGAGTCCAGATTGTCGCCGCTATCGAACTTGGCGGCGTCCGGGTATTTGTTTTCCAGTTCGGCCAAAATCAGGTGAATGTCCGAATTGGAGTGGTACTGCGGACTGAATTGATTCTCCGACACGCCAAAGTCGTACGCGCTCGCCCAGTGCTGCTCGTCGTTTCTCATTAGGGTCGCGTTGTGCTCTAAGCTTCCGCTTGATGGGATTGTAATCTCTTGAGTGAAGCTCTCGTAACTAAAACAGTTTACCATTAAATTATGGTTCTGTTCCGTACTAAGAACCGAAAAGTGACCTACCCGGGTGCAGTAACCGTCAAGTTGTATTTTCCCGGCAACAAAATGCGCCAGTAATCGCCGTACATGCTCGTCTTAACCACGTGGTCGATACCTTCGACGTAGAGCTCCGCATTGGTGATCGGATGGCCGATCGTGCTGACAACGAAACCGCTCACGCCCTTGTGAACCTGCTCGATGAAAGTCAAGAGGGCCTCACGATTGTCGTCCCAATAGCTCGGCAGGTCCGTCGAGTTCGGATACTTGAAGCAGCCCAACTCGAGCGTGAGCTCCATGCAGCCGGCGTTCAGGTAGTTCCAATCCTGCATGCCGCCCGCGAGCGTGTACCACTTGGCGCCGTTCGTGATGCCGCCCTCGAAGTGCTCGTTGGGAAATAGCGGGCACGGTCTGTCTTCGTGCATGGTTCGGTGCGCCTAAAACGAGCCACGTTCACCTGGTGCGAACACACCGCCAAAATCGCTTACGTTGGCGTAGGTACGCGCCAAGTACTTGAAGACGCGGTCGTCCGGCGCGAGATTCTCGATTCCGTTGGTGAAGTTTGCGTTGTCGTCGAAGGGGTAGTTGGCGACTAGGGCGCCGTTGTGCAGATTGGCGGATAAAACGAACGGCTCGGATAGGATCCAGTCCATTACGGCTTTTGTTTCCGGTTCTTGAACTTTATTGAACTGAAAGAGAGTGCGTATCGTGTTTAACCAAACCACTACGGCACTACTGTTGTTTGGGCTTACCTTCTGAACGCCAAACTGATCGGGAAAATTTCTGTTGAGATCCACCTCGTTTGCGTTCTCTCTGCCTAACGCGCTGCTAGCGTCACCTGCATCTCAAACGGTAGAGTCAGCGTTCAAAAGCGAAGGAGAGCCTTACCTTCAACGGCCATCTCGTATCCGTCCGGATTCATTGTGGGCATGATGTGTATGCGGGTAGTATCCATCATGTTCGTGATTCGAGTGTCCTTGCCGTAGTGCTCGCAGAGGTACTTGATGAGCAAGAGCAACAGTTCTCGCCCGACGATTTCGTTTCCGTGCATGTTGGCGATATATTTAAATTCGGGTTTACCTATGAAAGAGCTTTTTAAGAAGGAGAATCATGTGATCTGATCTGATTGGGCAAAACGTCACGAAAATCGTTGTACTGCACATGCGCGAACTTTATTGTTGAGAGTCCTGCGCATGCGTGCCCAAACAAGAAAACTAGTTCTGTACAAGTCTGACTTTCGTCATACCAGTCCTATTTCAGAAAAATCGCTGCACCAATGAAAGCCAGTTCCATGGAAAGACCGGTTCTGCGCATGTTCTGACTCTGCGCGCGTGTAGCGTTCAATTTTAACCAAAATGGTAGACAATCGTTGCTAGGTGCTGCGCATGCGTATATTCGATTTTTGTCATTCGCTTGTTGCCAACATTTCATAAGAAAAATCACCAGATTTGTGGTTTGCATGCACGCATCAGAATTGGACATGTACGTCACATACTAAAACACATAGGAAACCTCGATCTGTGCAGGGGCGCATAAGTCGTTGCTAGGCGCTTTGCTTATTTTTTTTTAAGAAACCTGGTTCTGCGCATGTGTGGAATTCCACGTATGTCACGCGAGAAGGGCTGATTTTGTTAAAGTAAGTCATGTTCTGTGCGCGCTAGTTAAAGCTTGTAATTCAAAAAAATTTAAAAAATCGCAAATATTAAAAAAAACAAAATCAAGAAAGATCAAATTAAAAGAAGATTGAAAAAAGTTTCTGCAGACATACACAAAAATCAAAAATGATTTTCCATAGGTAAAAACCTGGTTCGTATTCTGAATAACTTAGGAATCGTATAAAAAACTAAAAAAAATCGGAGAAAAGGCACACGCAAAAATTCGTAACGTAAATAATAATGTATAAAAAGAAAAAACGTAGAAAAATACACAAAACTAAAAAGTTCCCCAACAAACAATTCAGAAAAAATAAATCGGAAAATTCAAAAAAAATTAAAAAATGCAAAATTAGAAAATTCGGAAAATGTTAGAAGATAATCGCATAATTTAGACAATACAATTACAAAAATTAGGGAATATTAAAAACAGAGATGTACTAGCATTTTAAAAACATTCACAATTCCTAAAAATTAAAAAAAGGAGTGTAGTACACAAAAATCCAAAAACAGTTTACACAAAAATTCCAACAATTTGAAACGACTCACTGCAATAAATTAAGTGTATGCACAAAAAAAGTAAAAAAATTCATAAAATCGGCACGCAATGCAAAAAATTTAAAATAGAAAAATTTAATAAGATCCAAAAATTAAAGAGGACAAATCCAAGAACATTCGAAGAGAATTAAAACCACCAAAATTCAAAAAAATTTCAAAAGAATTTAGAAAATTACAAAAATTTCGAAATGTCAAAAATAAACCATAACATTTCAAGAACAATGCCTAAACATTAAAAAAGAGAAAAGTGTACATCAAAATCCAAATAAAAACTTTCAAAAATGTGGAATGGACTACTACAAAAAATGAAAATTCACAAAAATTGAGAAAAATAAAAAAATCAAAATAACAAAATTTCAAAAATTCAGAAACATTACACATCCCAACATTGATAATACCTAAAAATAAAAAAATGCCAGACATTGCAAGACAGTTGTTCCATCGGCAAACAATTCAGAATAATTAAAAATCGAAATATTACCTCATACAACCTTTTGGTTTTTATGAGTGCTATGCTTATTATTTGTTATGCCTAATTATATTTTCTCTGTGGATGGTTTCAATCCGCATTATTATTATTTTTATTAATTAAAAAAAAGTAAAAAAAAACAAAAATTAAACAAAAAAAAATCAGAAAACTGCAAACATTGGGAGAATTGAAAAATTCAGAAATATTAAAGACACTTCAAAAACAGAAAATATTAAAGATACCCTAGCATTTGTAGAACATTTATAATTCTTCAAAATTTACGGAAAAGTACATAAAAATTTAAAACAGTTTTTTTAGCAAAGGAAACCTCTATGCTATGTGATTAGTGTACACAAAAATTCAAATAAACAAATTCCAAAAATTAGGTGCTATAATAAATTAGGTGTATGTGCGTATCTGGATACATAAAAATTCAAATTTAGAACAACAAAGAATTTGATAAAATACGAATTACAAAAATTAACATATTTCAAAAAGACTCCCTAGAATTTAAAGAGCATTTATATTCCCGAAAAATTAAAAGAGAATTCAAACAAAAAATTCCAAAAATTTGAAACGAGATACCAATAAATTAGGTGTCTGTATACAGGGTGTCTTAAATTGAGTAGGATGGCATGGCTATCTTTGTTATTTTTATACTTACACATTCGGTTAAATTGGCAAAGTTGTGTAGTTTTTGATGCCGATGGATATTCCGATGCGATATTTTGAAAAAAATAATTCGTTTCGTAGATAATTGGAAAAAAGTGAAAATCGCCATTTTTAAAAAGTTCAAATATTTTAGTAACAAAGAGAACTATCGAAAAATGTTTAAAATATAAGTTGCAAGATTGGATGGGATAAATTCAATGAACGCAGAAAAATTTTTTTTTAAATGGCGGTTTTAGAGATATTGACATCAACTTATACTCAATTTAAGACACCCTGTATAGGTACCAAATGTGTGACTCGTTTCTAGTTTCTGGAATTTTGTTTTTAGACAATTTTTAAGGAATATAAATGTTGCTAAATGCTAAGGACTATTTTTGTAATTGTATTTTCCACAAATTTTGAATTTTTAGGTTTAATTTTGAAGAATTATCAATGTTCTACGAATGTTGGGTCTAATATTTTCTGATTTTTAGAATTTTCGTATGTAATTGTATTTTTTATATTTTTGAATATTTGTTTTCAAACCACCGTTTGATTTTTGTTTTTTACTTTTTTTTTGAAATTTTTTTTACATATATCGGTATCGTTTCCCGTAGCACCTTATGTTTTTGGTCACAAGTGCTGGAACTTTTAAATTTCTTTAAATTGTTCTAGTTTTTTTCTTTTTCTACATTTTTGGATTTTTCATACTCATTCATTTTTGGATTTTTTTAATTCCTTGAAATTTGCCGATTCTAAAGGTTTGAAATATTTCAATTCATGTTTAAACTAATTTTATAGCGGTTTCCTACACTAAAAAACCACTTTAAATGTTCGTGTACATTTTTTGTCTTCCTTTAATATTTGTAATTGTATTCTCCAAATTCTTTTGATGTTCTTAATTTTTTGGATTTTTCTGAATGAAAATGAAAATTTTAACTTTTTGGATTGATCACTTTTCTTAATTGTTTACCGAGAGGACAACTTGAGTTTTTGGGCACAATTGGTGGAGATTTTGGGTTTTATTTATTTTTTTAAATTCTATTTTCTAGATTTGAATCTTTATGTACTTACTTTCCTACAAACACTCATTCTAATTCTTTTTTAAGTTTTTGTGTAAACTAATTTTAATTGCTCCACCAAAAACGCTACTATACATTTGTAGCGCACTTTTTGTTTTTTAATTTTTATAAATTATCAATTTGCTTCAAGTGACTTTAATATTGTTGAATTTTGTATTTTTCAAATTCTTTTGAAATTTTGAATTTTTCAATTCTTTGAATGTTTGCAGAGTTTTTTGGTTTTATGGGATTTTTTCTATTTTTTAATTCCATCCATAGAAAGATATAACTCTCTTGCAATGTCTGATTGTTGATTGCTTTAAATTTTGTATTTTTTTAATTTTTAGTTATCTAGACGCAATTTATTTATTTGTGGAAACTAATTTTATAGTGGGTACCACCGAAAAACTACTTTAAATTTTTGATTACATTTTAATCTTCAAGATTTGTCAGCTTTGTTCAACCGTTAGCACAGATATTGGGTATTTTATGTGTGCTGTTAGGGTGTCTTTAATATTCCTGATTTTTGTATGTTTTTGTTGCTGAAATTTTTCTTAGTTTTTGGGAATTTTTAGTTTTTCTAAATTGTTTCCTGAGGGTAAGTCGTAACTTAATCGATCGTAGTTACTCATTACACATTTTTATTTCAATTTTTATGTACAGTTTTCCTTTTTTGTTATGTTCAGGCATTGTTAATGTTCTGGTTGCGTTTTAATATTTCGGAATTTTTGTAATGTTCGAAATTCTTTTGAAGTTTTTTATTTTTTTGCATTTTTCTGAATGTTGGTGAATTCTCTTCAATTGTTTGTCAAGTTTTTTCAAATTTCCTTGAATTTTTCTTACTCTTTAATTTTTCGATTTTATCAAATTTTTCGATTATACATTTTTTTAATTGAGAATTCACAAATATTCAGAAAAGTAGAAAATTCAAAAGAATTAAGAAAATTTAAAACGCGTCATATTTTTCGGAAAGATTACGTCACATTCGCTTTCGTTCTTTATCGCCGATGACTAATCTTTCATGGCGCCTCGATGTCTATCGAAATTTCGGGAATGTTCGCTACAGTACATTAAAAATTGCAATAGGAAAATATACATAATTAACAAAACCAAAAATCCCATCGTATGCCCCGAAAACCCAAAGTTGTCTCATCGGCAAACCATTCAGAAAAATTAAAAAACCCAAGAAAACTCAACAAACATTCGAAGAGAACTAAGAATAAGAATTCGCAACAATTCAAAAATTAGCAATTTCAAAAGAATTAAGAAAAATCAAAAATACTAAAAGACTAAAAAACAAAGAAAAATATTTACAATTCAGTGTAAAAATACTTTTAGTGTACTCAAAAAATACAATAGAAAATTTCAAAAATTCAAAAATTTGGGGTATCAAAGTGCAGAAATTTTAGAAAACGCACTAAAGATAAACAACAAAAATTTAAAAAATTTGGAACTAATAATTAAAAAAGCAATTGGGAGAAATGTAGTTATACAAAAATTAAATAAAAACAAATTAAAGTAAAAATATCAAAAATACACGTAATAGATGATAATTTGGGGTATCAAAGTGCAGAAATTTTAGAAAACGCACTAAAGATAAACAAAAATTTAAAAAATTTGGAACTAATAATTAAAAAAGCAATTGGGAGAAATGTAGTTATACAAAAATTAAATAAAAACAAATTAAAGTAAAAATATCAAAAATACACGTAATAGATGATAATTTGGGGTATCAAAGTGCAGAAATTTTAGAAAACGCACTAAAGATAAACAAAAATTTAAAAAATTTGGAACTAATAATTAAAAAAGCAATTGGGAGAAATGTAGTTATACAAAAATTAAATAAAAACAAATTAAAGTAAAAATATCAAAAATACACGTAATAGATGATAATTTGGGGTATCAAAGTGCAGAAATTTTAGAAAACGCACTAAAGATAAACAAAAATTTAAAAAATTTGGAACTAATAATTAAAAAAGCAATTGGGAGAAATGTAGTTATACAAAAATTAAATAAAAACATATGAAAGTAAAAATATCAAAAATACACGTAATAGATGATAATTTGGGGTATCAAAGTGCAGAAATTTTAGAAAACGCACTAAAGATAAACAAAAATTTAAAAAATTTGGAACTAATAATTAAAAAAGCAATTGGGAGAAATGTAGTTATACAAAAATTAAATAAAAACAAATTAAAGTAAAAATATCAAAAATACACGTAATAGATGATAATTTGGGGTATCAAAGTGCAGAAATTTTAGAAAACGCACTAAAGATAAACAAAAATTTAAAAAATTTGGAACTAATAATTAAAAAAGCAATTGGGAGAAATGTAGTTATACAAAAATTAAATAAAAACATATGAAAGTAAAAATATCAAAAATACACGTAATAGATGATAATTCCTAGATATTAAAGAAATATAAAAGATTATGTCACTATACGATTGGGTGTATACAAAATAGCAAATAAACAAAGTCAAAATTTAAACAAAAAGAAAAATCAGATTTAAAAAAAGTAAAAAATTCAGAAGATTAAAAAAACTGGCAATAATTGATAATTTGAACTAATTTACACAGTAATGTAAAAACTTAAATAAAATATATAGGAATATAGGAAGGTGTAAATAGTAATAAACTCGAAAAAGTCAAAAAACCTCTAAAAATTCCGAACTTAAAAATTCAAAAAATACAGAAAAATTAAAATTTGTATTAAAGTAAAGCATTCCAAATTGTTGCATAACAAAAGTTTTACATGTTCAACCGCTGTCCGCACCCGACCCCTTGCAGTTGCAAATTTCCGACTTCCTAAAACACTAGTGAATTTCCACAACCGGTAAAAAAAACCACATAAATTGCAGAGTGCACCAGACAAGGAAGCGGTTTTCGGGGTTCCCCCAACATACCTATAAATAGCCGTGGACGCTACCAAAACCGCGCAATTTTAAAAGTGACTGTTAACAGGTGAGTGCCGCAAACAATTTCGCTTAACTAACTTACCTGGCGAGTGCTCCATGGGCGTGTTACCCAAAACCATGACGTACAGCTCGCGACCCCGCACCGACCGTCCGATGCTCTTTAGGTCGGTAATATTCGGGTAGGTTCTGTTAATGTCGAACAGAAAACGTGCCAGATCTTCGTAGTGGTGATGTCTGAACGTCGCCGGTATCATAAATCCGTGCTGGTCGAATAGGGGCGGCGTAACGCGCTTTACGTCTTTAAAAGCACCTAAAAATCCATCGCTTAAGGCCAGTCGGTTAAATTGACAGACTATAGCCTGTCTCACCTTTACTTTACAGTACTATAGAATATGATTTTAAGAAAATGGGCGCATCGCCACGCTAAAAACTCCTATAAGGATTGCATTGCCCAATGTCCCCTGTACTGTAAAGCGAAGGTGAGACGGACTACTGATTAGATCAATTCCTCATTAAATCAACTGAACTTGAACCATCATTTGTTAACGATCGAGTGATGGTGCATATACGAGAAGAAGTGCAAGGCGGGAGGGAGTTGTGCGGTGCATGGAATAAAATACAAATGTTTTTTTAAAATTTATTGTACTGTCTTTTACATAAGAGAGGCCGGCTACGTTGCAGTCATGGACAATGCGTTAATTAAACTAAAACGAACGTAGCTCCGCCCCTCGTCAGTCTACATAATATAAAAATACATAGAAAAAGGGTCATGCAGTAAAAAAAACATGTGTATTTTATGATAAAAAAAATAAAACAAATAACGATTAGTAAACCCAAGCAACCCACAGTGTATAAAATGATATGAAAGGTACATAAAAGGTTAGAGAGAGATTAGCTTGACCAAAACCATTGCGATTCGCCTAATTTTTTGCTCATATTACCTTTGTCTGGTACTCGTAATTTTAAAGCAAAGTTCTGAATGGTAGTCGAACCTTTTGTCACCTGGATCCTTTCCGATTCGGAACGCTGGTAACTGGAAATAATAATGAGCGATTTTAAAACATCGAATTTGAACAAAAATAGAAATTTTTTTTATTATACAGGGCGGTGAAGTGGTTGGAAATTCCAATGGATCTTTGATTATTCAGTACTTGACCTCCCAAGGTTCCTTGAACTTCACAAAGATTTTTTAAGACCTTCGGAATGTCCTACTGTCACTTTAACACTCCTTAAAAATACCATGAAGACCTCCTGAAGATGTTCCAAAGCAATGGACCAGTATACTTGAAAGCAACCCTTACCTCCCAAGGTTCTTGAACTTCCTAAAGGTTTTTAACGCCTTCCGAATGCTTTATTGTCACTCTGAAACCCATTAAAAATACCCTGGAGGCAAGGAAGACCTTCTGGAGACCCCCTGAAGACCTCCCAAAGTTCTTTGAACTTCCTTAAGATTTTTTAAAACCTTCTGAATGCTCTATTGCCACTCTGAAACCCATTAAAAATACCCTGAAGGCATTGAAGACCTTCTGAAGACTCCCTGAAGATTTTCTAAAGTAATTGACTAGTATACTTGTAGCATACCCTTATCTCCCAAGGTTCCTTGAATGTCCTCAAGGTTTTTTAAGACCTTTGGAACATCCTACTGTCACTCTGAAACCTCTAAAAAATACCCTGAAAGCCCTGGGGAACTTCCAAAGCAATTGGCTAGTATCCTTGAAGCCACCGTTACCTCCCAAAGTTCCTTGAACGTCCTACAGGTTTTTTAAGAGCTTAGGAACATCCTCCTGTCACTCTGAAACCTATTAAAAATACCCAGGAGGAAATGAAGACCTTTTGGAGACTCTCTAAAGACCTTCCAAAACAATTGACTAGTATACTTGAAGGCTACTCTCAGCTCCCAAGGTTCCTTGACCTTACTAAAGGTTCTTGAAGACCTTCGAAATGTGCTACTCAGTTTTAAACCCACCAAAAATACCCTGAAGGCAATGAAGCCCTTCCGGAAACCCCCCTCAGACATTCCAAAGCATTTGACTAGTATATTTGAAGGTTACCCTCAACTCCCAAGTTTCGTTGAACTTCCTAAAGATTTCGGAGTGTCTTACTGTAACCCTGAAACCCATTAAAAATACCTTGGAGGCAATGAAGACCTTCTGGAGACTCTCTGCTGACCTTTCAAAGCAATTGAACTAGTAGACCTGAAAGCTACCTTCAGCACCCAAGGTTCCTTGAACATTGTAAAGGTTTTTTAAGACCTTCTGAATGCCCTATTGCCACTCTGAAACCCATTAAAAATACCCTGAAGGCATTGAAGACCTTCTGAAGACTCCCTGAAGATCTTCTAAAGCAATTGACTAGTATACTTGAAGGGTACCCTTACCTCCCAAGGTTCGTTGAATGTCTTAAAGGTTTTTTAAGACCTTTGGAACGTCCTACTGTCACTCTGAAACCCCTCAAAAATACCCTGAAAGCCTTGGGGATCTTCCATAGCAATCGGCTAGTATCCTTGAAGCCACCCTTACCTCCCAAACTTCCTTGAATGTCCTCCAGGTTTTTTAAGAGTTTCGGAACGTCCTCCTGACACTCTGAAATCCATTAAAAATACCCTGAAGGCAATGAAGACCTCCTGAAGATCTTCCAAAGCAATTGACTAGAATACTTGAAAGCCAACCTCAGCTCCCAAGGTTCTTAGAACATCCTAAAGGTTTTTTAACACCTTCGGAATATCCTACTGTCACTCTGAAACCCATTAAAAATACCATGAAGGAAATGAAGACCTCCTGGAGACCCCCCGAAGATCTTTCAAAGCAATTGACTAGTATACTTGAAAGCCAACCTCAGCTCCCAAGGTTCTTTGAACATCCTAAAGGTTTTTTAACACCTTCGGAATATCCTACTGTCACTCTGCAATCCATTAAAAACACCATGAAGGCAATGAAGACCTCCTGGAGACCCCTGAAAACCTTCCAAAGCAATTGACTAGCATACATAAAAGACTACTCTCAGCTCCCAATGTCCTTGAACTTCCTAAGGGTTTTTTAACACCTACGGAATGCTGTATTGTCACTTTGAAACCCATTAAAAATACCCCGAAGGCAATGGAGACCTCCTGGAGACCCCCCGAAGATCTTCCAAAGCAATTGACTAGCATACTTGAAGGCTACTCTCAGCTCCCAAGGTCCTTCAACTTCCTCAAGGGTTTTTAACACCTTCGGAATGCACTACTGCCACTCTGAAACCCATTAAAAATACCCTGAAGGCAATGGAGACCCCCCGAAGATCTTCCAAAGCAATTGACTAGCATACTTAAAGGCTATTTTCAGCTCGCAAGGTCCTTGAACTTCCTCAAGGTTTTTTAACACCTTCGGAATGCACTATTGCACTCTGAAACCCATTAAAAATCCACTGAAGGCATTGCAGACCTTCTGAAGACTCTCTGAAGATCTTCTAAAGCAACTGGCTAGTATCTTTGAAGGCACCCTTATCTCCCCAAGTTCTTTCAACGTCCTACAGGCTTTTTAAGAGCTTCGGAACGTCCTCGTGGCACCCTGAAACCTATTAAAAATATCCAGGAGGCACTGAAGATCTTCTAGAGACCACCCGAAGATCTTCCAAAGCATTTGACTAGTACATTTGAAGGTTACCCTCAACTCCCAAGTTTCTTTGAACTTCCTAAAGATTTCGGAGTGTATTACTGTAACCCTGAAACCCATTTAAAATACCCTGGAGGCCATGAAGACCTTTTGGAGACCCTCTGAAGATCTTCCAAAGCAATTGACTAGTATACCTGAAAGCTACCTTCAGCTCCCAAGGTTCCTTGAATATCCTAAAGGTGTTTTAAGACCTTCGGAACGTCCTTCTGTCACTCTGTGGAACCCATTAAAAATACCCTGGAGGCAATGAAGACCTTCTGGATACCCGTTGAAGATTTACCAAAGCAATTGACCAGTATACTAGCAGGCTACCTTCAGCTTCCAAGGTTCCTTGGACTCCAAAATGTTTCTTATGACCCTTTCACGATACTCTGAAGGCAATGAAAACATTTTGAAGATTCCCTGAAGATCTTCCAAAGACCGACTAGGCCACCCTCACCTCCCAATGTTTTTAGAACTTCCTAAAGGTTTCGGAGTGCCTTACTGTAACACTGAAACCCACTAAAATACCCTGGAGGCAATCAAGACCTTCTGGAGACTCCCTGAAGACCTTCTAAAGCAATTGACGACTAGTATACCTGAAAGCTACCTTCAGCTCCCACGGTTCCTTGAAAGTCCTAAAGGTGTTTTAACACTTTCGGAATACCTTACTGTCCCTCTCGAACCCACTAAAAATACCCTGAAAGCAATGAAGACCTTTTGGAGAGACCCTGAGGATCTTCCAAAGCAATTGACTAGTATCCTTGAAGGCCACCCTTACCTCCCAAGGTTCCTGGAACGTCCTAAAGATTTTTTAGGACCTTCGGAGCGTCCCCCTGTCACTCTGAAACCCATTAAAAATGTCCTGGAGGCAATGAAGACCTTTTGGAGATCCTCTGAAGACCTCCCAAAGCAATTGACTAGTATACTTGATGGCTACTCTCAGTATTCAAGGTTCCTTGAACTCTTACTATGTTATGACTCCTTCACGATACCCTGAAGGTAAAACATTTTGAAGATCTTCCAAAGACTTGGCTAGTATACCTGAAAGCTACCGTCACCTCCCAATGTTTTATGAACTCCCTAAAGCCCATTTCTTACTTTCTGAAAACCACCCTAAGACCCCTTCGCAATATCCTGAAGGCAATGAGAACACTTTGAAGATTCCCTTCCAAAGACTACTGTTCACTCTTACTAGATTTTGTATTCAACATTCACTTCAGGGTGATTAGTTGGAAATTTACCATACTTACCAATGCACGCGCTTCACTTCTATTGCAGGTTTCATATAGAGGGTGCAAAAAAATTATATTTTCTTACTTAGAAAGTCAGCGTAGTGGTATAAACCACAATTTTGAAACGATTTAAACAGATCATGACCGTAACATGAATAACAATAGCGTTCCGGTTGATAATTATCACCGAGTTCATTTAACTGAAGGTCAATTTGGACATTATCGTGGAATACATACCCGTAAGCGGTGGCATATATGTTGTAAACGCCGGGCAACAAAAGCCTCCAGTACTCTCCCTTATTAGACGTGGTGACATTATGTGGAATCCCCTCGACCACGACGTCCGCATCCAGAACGGGCTCGCCGTTCTCGTTCGTCACCAAACCTTTCACGCCCCAATGCGTCGCCTCGATAAAGCTCAACATCGATTCCTTGTTTAACTGCCACTCGTTCGGCAGGTGGGACGCGGGGGGATATTTACAGCAGCTCAATTCGAATGTCACTTCGAAACAGTTCGAGTGCACGTAGTTAAAGTCCTGCATTCCGCCTGAAATTAAAAAAAAGTGGCATCACCACCACGTCGGATGATGGAGCGAGAGAATTACCGTGAACCTCGTACCACAGAGCGCCGTTGGTGACGCCGTCGACAAAATGCTCGTTTTTGCAAACGCGTCCGGTACGCATCGTCGGATGCCGTTGGGCGTATATCGTCGCCAAGCCTTTGAATAGCTCGTTGTCCGGCGTCGGGCTTTCCTTACAGCACGTGCGACCTGTACTGCAATTATGAATTAATCATCTGGAAGTCGACAGTCGAAACTTTTTGCATCTTTTAAAAAACCGCTCGGCTTGCCCAAATTAACAAGAGGCTCAAAAAGTACTGGGTTCATAAATACACGTTAAAAAACAATTACAAACACTGATCATAAATTACAGTCCAAAAATGAAGAGCACCCCATTTTCGACGATAGCTGTGCAAAAACATAAACCGACGTATATATTACACGAGATTTCGTGGTCAAGATTGGAATTTCTTTTAGAATTTTAGTGTACACACAATTGGAAGCGGTTTACCCCTCGGCGAAAATTACTGTAGAATTTTAGTGTACACTACTAGCAATTTATTGAATTTTTTTTAATTATCTAGAATTTTTTTAATGTTTCTAGAATTTTAAATTTTTTTTTAGAACGTTTTACCCCTCGTTTAGTCCTGTACATCTCACGTACACTTCTTATACCACAGTCCAGATTTAATTTCAACATTTTTCCTTCTTTTGTGAACATTTTAGCATATATGAACCAGACCCCGCGTCGTACCGCCTTTGGGAAATCTCGTTTTTTTGGATGGGATATACGCTCGGTTTCCCCGTCTCTCCACGCGCACCCAACCCAACCATCGAAATGTTGAAAACCGTAGAAGATACGAAGATGTTCAAAAGTTGCGCAATTAAAGAGTTTAATTCAAAATTCTGATTACTTCCGAAGATATGTCAGAAAACCCCAAAAAAGTACATACTGTATTGAGTTGCGGTTTTTATTACTAAACAACGATGCATGGCACACCCAAAAAAATCAAAAGTTGGAAACTGTTAGTTTCAACAGGATGGTGCACCGGCGCACAACGCCCTAATCGTGCGAGAACACTTATCGAGCATATTTTTCAATTTCCAGGCACTTTTTCACGGGTTTCAAGGAATAACTTTCTTTTAAATCAAATTTTTGTCTGAAATTCACGGGTGAGTGCGGTTAGTGGGCTAGTGGGGCAGATAAATGCTTTAATCGTTCAGATGATGATACAAGCATGAAATTTGGTATGAATGCTCTTATAAGGGTACTATTTTATACAAATAAGCTGCCCACTTAAAAAATTCAATGTGGTTGCCGATTTCCAAGATGGCGGCACATGTTATTATTATTTGTAAGTAAAACCGGTGGCCATTTTGAATTTTTTAAATGGTCAGCGTAGGCATATAAAACAATACCATTATTGAAGCGTTCATACCAACTTTCATGGTAGTATCATCATTTGAACGATATTTACCATTAATAATAGTTACCATATGCCGCCATCTTGGAAAACAGCGGCCATATTAAATTTTTTAAGCGGCCAGTGTTTTTACCATTATAGAAACTTTCATACCAAATTTCATGCTTGCCTCATCATCTGAAAGATACTTGCCATTGTCTGCCCCACCATCAGAGTGGAAAATCTCTAATAACTTCGTCGTCTTCAAAGACCGAACATTTTTTTGTTAGGTTAATATAGCGGAATTCACAGAAAAATCACTTTTTTAGATTCCAGTAAAGTCACTAAATATAGAAAGTACCGCAATCCATTGGGCTCGTGTGTTAGAGAGAGAACGCATGATTTTTGCCCAAAAATGGCGGAAGTTCCCAGATTCTAGTAACTTTAATGTTAGGGATTGTTCCACCTGTTTGGAGATATCTGTATATATTTTTATAAAACATGACAGTACTATGAAGTTAGGTTATAAAAAATGACAGCTATTCAGATTTTATTTGTCAATTTTTTTAAGTTGGCAGCAAATTTGCCCAAAAATGGCGGATGATTGCGGTACTTTCTATATCTAGTGACTTTAGATTCCAGATTGCAGTTACGCCCCCTAGCGGTCATTTCAGAAACTTAAAAATATTTTCCAGGTTTTTCTCGTGGCCGTTTTAGTAATTAATTTTTTTACCGCAAGCCTCTACGATGGATAGATTCTCAGATACAGTACCTCGCATTCTTAGTTGGTCACCCTGTACAGGGTGGTTCAATTTTGTGGCTCACCATTAGGATTTTCGTAGGCAAAGCTGCACATTTGTGACCAAAAAAACCCCATTTGATTGTTAAAAATAACAAATTATTTTTTATGGACGCCATATTGGATTTATTCATTCCAAAAAATCCAATATGGCGTCCATAAGAAAATATAAAGACCTGTAGCTCCTTCCTCTAACGTGTTATGGAAATTCTGATAACAGATTCAGATTGTCCGAAAAAAAGTTCTCCCAGATACAGTACCTCGCATTCTTATTTGGGCACCCTGTACAACTGACTAACTCTAAGACTGAACTTACTTCGAATCATCATAAGGGTAACTAGCGACGACTGCGCCCCCATGCAAATTCCCCGACAGCACGAACGGCCTCGATATAATCCAAGTCATCATGGCGATCGTCTCCGGCTGGCGACCGGACAAAATAGTGCCGGCACGTATCGACCCGTCGAACTGATCGGGAAAATCCCTATTCAGGTCGACCGCATTCTCGTTCGTTCTCCCGACGTATTTCGGCTTCGACTCGCACTCGCCCTCCTAAAATCGCAATTGTAAATTCAACTCGACCGATCGACTACACCCACCTCGGAATTCTCGAAACCGTCCGGATTCATCGACGGCATCAGGTAGATGTCTGTACCGTTGACGAGCTTCGTCACGCGCTCGTCGCGTCCGTAATTGGTCAGCAAGTACTCGGCGAGATAGATCAGCAATTGTCGACCGACGGTCTCGTCTCCGTGCATGTTGGCGACGAATTTGAACATCGGGGTGAGTAGCGGACGGTTACCGACGTCGCTGCTTATCTCCAAAGCCCACAGATCTCGGTGCCTCACCGACTTACCGGCGCTGTGCAGCTTGGCCAGGTGCGGGTAGTCCTCGACGAACTTCTCGAAGAGCGTCGTCAAATCGTCATAGTTTAAGTAGCGAGGATTGGTTAGGAAGACTTCCCCATTGTCTGGTGAAGGTTTGGAATGGGATTCACTTATAATTAATATCACAATCGTTATTGCTAGTTTACGAAACATTACGGAATTGCTGAACTTATTTTCCTTTGTTGCATTTACAATTCCATATTGTATTGCTTGGCAGTCGCTTTGCGATTTGTGTTTTCCTTGAAATGAAACGTCAAATCTCTAACCCAGTTGACATGACGTCAGAGATTAGTAGGGATTTTTCGTTTCGTCACGGTTTTTCCGGCTGGTGATTGCATACAAGGTCGAAGAGTGTATAGAGTGCTGCCAAATTTGTGTACCACTAAAGGGGTCACACGAAACCTTTCATATTACATCAGTAATAATCACTTTTTCCCACTTCCGTCTCTGTATGAATATGTAACATAAATGACAACGTCAAATGTAAGGCTCCAAATACAGTAAAGTAGTGGTAGCTGCTAACTGCAGTACAACCTTACTTACTTTATTGTCAATTGACACAAATAATAATAAATTAAATATACCTAAACGAAAGGTTTTTTAAAGAAGGTTTCGTTATTGAAACGCGCTCGTTTTCCAGCAGTTTAGATTCATAAGAGCTGTGATGCTGGTGGTTTAAATACAGTCCATCCAACTTCTGGATTTTTCTGAACTTTTAAATCCATTTCAAATTCGGTAAATGGCTCTGTATTAGAGAAGTCTGATACAGGAAGCGCTGGAACCACTTGTGGTTATTGAACTTGTTATTGCTTAGTTGTTCGCTGATGATGACAGCTTTGCTGTCAAAACGCGTTCGAGGTTTTAACATATTACTGTAGTTTATTGGTGTTTTTGTTTTATTTTTAAGTCTGAAAAAGAAGATGACGTGGGCTTGTTAACAGAAATGGAAGCTACTACCTTTTGGTGGACTGCCATAGTTTTACTGATTCTTTCCGTTCCTTCTCGTTGCATTAGCTCTTCCATCAATATTTTTTTTTGTCGCGATTTTACTTCTACCTTTCTTCGTTGTTGACATGCATTTCCTCCTGTTAATCAAAAAAATCATAATGTAGTTTAAAAACCAGTTAGATCAGCTAAAGTTTCATACTTTAGATTGGTTCTTTCATCAGTCTTTCTTAAACTTCGAACCGCCTTTTTCATAGATTTGTAGTGTACTTTAACCCCCAGGTTCTACGCTAACTTCACACTACAAGAACACGGAAATAAAGTCAACCCGGCAACGTTAAAAAAAAGGCATCCGAATGACTATTCCCTCCAAAACTAAACAAGATCCCGCTTAAATTTGAAAAGTGGCACGTGATCAAACATCTAAGGCAGGACCCCCTTACGTTAGTTGTAGGCAACGCTTTGACCTGAAGCACAGTAGGGGAGGAACGTAAAATAAAACACTCAAATTGTGAAAAGTTTGTTTAATAATGATTGCAATTATTAAGATTGTGAAAGCTCGGAAATTTAAGTCGAAATAAATTACATTGCAAAAATATACTTTGAAAATTGTAGTTCACCGAATAAAAATAGAATTAGGCTGGGGAAAAAAAGAACTTACCAATAAAAAAAACCAGCCGTCAAATTAATATCATTGTGTTGTAAAATAAATTGTTTGTAATGTTGCAAATGCGTAACATAAAATTACAACATCGCAAAAAGTAGCAGGTAGACTTCAAGAGGTAACATATAGCTTAAAATCAAGTTTTGGGAATTATGGGTCAGGTAAGCAGGTACCCAGATTCTAAGAAAGGGTGAAATACACAGGATGTGACTCATCTTTGGTGCAATACAGTCCTTTTGTTAAAAGCAAGATGGAAAGTTACATGTCCTTGTAGGCAAATTTAACTAAAAATAAGATATGTGGAAATTATTGAATCGCCATTCATTTCTCTCACATAGATTCTAAAATGAAGAGCGTAATCCCGCTCCTGAAAGATAGGTAACCCGCCCCTGGTTTCGGGGTTTCGAGCCTACAGTTAAATGTCGAACACAATCACGGAATTAGGTGTCGCAAGCTCAATTTTGACTACAGTTTTTCCCACCCGTGACTGCTTCATTCACGGAGAAAATGTTAATTACAAACAACAAGTCAGTACATACATCAAAGGAATCGGTAATTTCCACATATTAAAATAAAATGATCAAAATTAAATGAATGTTACTTTAGGGACAAGACCAAGTAATCAACATCAATAAACATAAATTAAGCAAACATCACACCAAAAACGTAAACAATTACAAACAATAGCATAACGGTATCACATATGTGATCATGTATTGCGGTTAATTCAAGTCAATTTCAAAAACAAAGTTTCAAACACACAAAAAATATAAACTGTGGCATACAAAACACAAATACGATATAAAGAAATGCAAAGATTACTACCTGCATTAAAAAAACACAAAATAACAACATTTATGGAGCGACGCGTTCACCACCACCATTCAAGACAAGATGCCAAACGGAACCCCTGTTCGTGCTCTTCAGATGCCGCAAATCGCTTTTCCCTCCTAAAAATTGCGTGGTTGCCAACTCTCAAAAATATGTGCATTGTGGAACCTCTCAGTATTATTAATTTTATACTTGTAAATTCTAGAAAAGCGGGATTTTTTATCCGAAAAATATAAATACGTCTTTCTCCTAAACCTCCATTCGTTCGTAGTTTGTAATTATCTCTATATGTATATTAATAAAACAAACCAATCTCTCCTTTTAACTACATATGAGGCGTATAGGATCAAAACCGGACATGTCACATATTTTAACAAAATGAAGTGAGATATACATACGTTTTGTACATTGAGGCGTGTTTTATAATAAAATGAAGTCAGTTTATTTGCAAATCCGTACATTTCCTATTAAAATCAGGCTTGAAAATTGCCATTAGATTCAAAAGCGGACATGTCCCATGAAATTCTGATGCAAAAACGGACATGTCCATTTGAACCAATAACGTTCTGGCATTGTGTCATGTGATCATGAATTTATTGAGGAAGTAGTTTCTTGCATATAAGTGGCGTGGCCCCTTTTTTGTGCTTTTTTATATAAAATTTATTTTCATTTAATAAATTTTTGATTATGTTGCAATTGCGTTAGTTTTTTTTTACTGAAAAAATAAGCATATGTAACTCAAAAATCCATCATATTTAGTTTCAGAACCAGACACGTCCACATTTTGGGTGCAAATTCGGCCAAACCCTAATTAAATTAATTAATAACTCATTTAATAATCAAAATATTCTTATTGTTTCTTGAGTAAGTATCATTTTTTGGGTTTTTGGGTAGATCTGCAACTCAAACCAAGAATTTTTATGTTTCGAATCCACTGGACAGATTATTCCGTTTTTTGGAAAACCATAATCATGTGACATGTCCGGTTTTGATCTTATACGCCTCATATGTACATACTAATTTGTTAACTTAAAATTCCGTTATAGAGTCGTGCTCTGCCTGAGTGACCACCTATTTGATTTACCTAACTCCTTGTTACACAATTTGCAATCTGAAGAATTATCCACACCTTCATTGTTTGAGAATTCGGCGTTCAAAGTTTTTACCCTTAAAGGCACGGTAATGGTTTGTACATACAAATAAAAAATACGATTACCTCAGAGGAGGACAGCTTGGCTTTTTTTGGGATTATTTAACACGTTCTTAACTTAGGCTCAACAAATTCAAGTTTATTTTGATTTTACACTTCCGCTAGATTCACACTTAATTTCATTCGGGGGTTTTTCAAACTTCGCGTTTTCGTGACTTCGCGCTAAGTGTGTTTTCGACTTAACTTTTACGGACCGCGCACCCAATACTTTTTCGGTCTATCGCTGAATGTATTCGTAATACTTCGCGGCTATTCGCATAATTCCATCCGAAAGCGCCTGTTTTACAATTTATTTATTTAAGTTGATCCACCGCAAAGAGTCTGCCATGCTTGACCAAGACAAACACGGCAGTGGCGGACCACTTACATCCTTCCTTCTGCTAGACCATTTTTAACAAGGATTTTTTTTTCATAATTTCTCAAAACGATAGTTTTATTTATTGTCCCTCTCTTGTTATGGGCCCTCAACAGGCTTGTGCTCAATTACAGAGTGACCCTCATAATGCCTTTTTAGAGGTGCCCTGCAGAAGGTCTTATAAGTTGTTCTATACTACTCTGAATTAGGAAAACTGCAGGAAAACCTAATTCGGAGTAGCCGACAGAATGCTTGGAATTGATCTAAGGAAATTCCCATCTCTGCCACAGATGAAAAATTCTTACCTCAGTCCAGGTTCGAACATCCGACCTTCCGACTATGTAGCCCAACGCTCTACCACTGAGACACATAGCCGTATTAATACGTACCTTGATTGAAAATATGCAAGCAGCACAGCTTATTCACAAACTTTCCAGCTTCGTTGGCTCGCTCCAGACCGGGCTGAATGCGCGTCTGTTATTGGCGTAAGGGGGACGTTGATCGCGGAAATGCTGTTGGTTCCGTTTTTCGTTATCATAAATAGCGAAGTAAAAACAGAAAGGGTATAGATAGAGGCAGGCAGATGTCGTGAATGAACAAAGCGAACTAAATAAGGAGATCTTTTCCATCTAAGCGAAACGTCAGGCAAATCTATCTACTTCTTGCGAGCCAACTTTTGAATCAGATTCAGTCTTTGAAATAGACTGACTATGAGAGATGACGCGGGGAATCCTCCGATACCTAAGTGATCAGTACGAGGTAGAGAGGCGCTGCCGCCGAAACTCTCTCTCGTCTTCAAAATATCTCTCTATCGTATTAAAACGAGGTGAAGAAAAGTAGCTGTGACATACGGAAAGGGGGTTAAAAAATGCAAAATTAAAAAATATCAAGACTCGTCACCTCAGTCAAAGTGTACAATGTATAGGGGGCGCCGATGATGTTGATTTGTCATACTGACTCCTTGACTTGTAGTTGCTCCTTCATAAACTCGTTGTAAAAAACTTACCTTTTTCGTTTTGCCTATATACATATCTGTTACGTATTATGTGGTAATTAAATAATGCCTTATTGGTATATCCAAAATTTAATTTATTGGATTTATGACAATAAAATTTGGGGACGTTGTACTCAGATAAAGCGTCCATTTTAAATATCCCATCAAGATGAAAATCGATACGTTACCTGAATTATATCTTTAAATCAGTGGATACTGTCAAATGCAGCTAATACATCGTTTGATTTTTATGATGCAAGCGTTATAGGTTACAATTTAAACATTAACAGCAAT